CGTGCGGTACATTTCGCACATGCGGTTCGGGGCAGTCCATAAATGACGTCACGCAATTCTGGACGATTTTTGACCCCCCTCCTCGTCACACGGCGTCACAAAAAGTCAGACCCCCCCCGCAAATATGACGTCACAAAGTTCTGCCCCCCCCCCAAAAATGTATTAAACATGCTTCAAATCGCTTTAAACTATTGTCACTGTAGTGCGTTTTTAATGTGGCGCTGAACTCTGATGTTGTAGGAGAAAACATTTATTTAAAAAAAATCTATTGAATTAAGTAGAACGTGTTATCTATATTTATTTAAAATTGCCCATTTTGATGCGACGTCACATTTCTCAAACACCAACCCCCCCTTTCGTCACACATCGTCACAAATGTCTGACCCCCCCCCCCCCCCAGGTGCGTGACGTCATTTATGGACGGCCCCTTAGGTACATATATGTCAGCAGTAGATCTGGAGGAATAATTCGGCTCATTCACGTGTACGCGTGTCATCGGAGTCACTTAAGAGTCTCGGGCAACGAAGCCGAGGATCGCGGGAAGGACAATGAACCCGAGTTTACCAAAGCCAGACGTGAGCTCGTCAAGTGTCTCTCTTGTCGGGGAGGTTTCAGGGGGCACGCGATGCGAACAGCATTCAAAACCCGTTCAGGGGGCACGCGATGCGAACAGCATTCAAAACCCGTGCAGAAAAAGACAGGCGCGTTGTCAAAAATCCACGCAACAAGTACATAACAACAACATGCCATTATCCAACAACATTTTTGTTTGCATGTCTGTAAAATCGCCCATGGCTATTAAAACAACAATAATTACATTTCATCGAGCGTCGTCCTTCATGCAAAATTCCATCTCACAACGCTGTACAAGAGAGAAAAGTAATAACATGAATAAAACGAAATAAGAAAATGTTGCGTCTCGCAGGACACACAGCGCACGTAGCTAAGGTTAATGCCATCAAAGGCCGAAATGAGAACAACGTTTTTCAATGAGGCGTACGCACGTACGTGAGTTGGACTCCCGTCCCAACGTCGTTAGCCAACCGTGCTCATCGGAGGTGCGCAATAGTGGAAGGGAAGCTAATTTGGCGAAGATGGAGTGGGAGTGCGAATGTCACACTGAAGACAAAGCGATATTGATGGTGGGAGTGGGTGGATGGGTGGGTGGAGGGGTCACAAGTGCAGCATTAATCGCAAAGAACAAAAGATCACGTTCGGCCAACGTCTCATCTGAACGAACCGAGCCACGGTCATCATCGCCGCCTGGGCGATTGTCTCTTTGATGGGGTTGGGGGACACCGCCCCACTCCCCTCTGCACGATTCGAATCGGACGCCACGAAGCCAACGCCAGCAGGTGACTCTGGCTGTGACAGTTTCGAGTTGCAGTGCGGAATAAATGTTTATTTTGCCATTTCCCAATAAGAGAGGCAAAGAGATAGAAGGCGACTTCCTGCAGTGCGTGGACTGAAGAGCGGTGGGGTTGTTTTGTTGTTCAAAGCAGTCGAGTGCAAACAAGAATGTTTCTTGTTCACGAAAACCCCTCTCTGAGTCTCAAGACTTATTCATAAAGAGGAGCCTGCGTCCGGGATGGTTGGACAATCCCAATTGTTAGCGAGAAGGGACACGCAGAGAGAGGGAGAGAGAGGCGGTGCCCATGAATGTCACGTCAGTGGGAGTGCCACGAGGGACAATGTTACACGGTTTTCTGTTCAATCGAACTTGCAGTGCTTAACATTTGAGTTTCGGTTTGCTCAGCAGCTCTCGGCGTACACGTGGCTATGACATGAAGCCCGCCGTGTTGCCGCGGTATCGCTGCCACACCCGTGGGCGCATCACCCGTGGCCTGGGACATGGCCACGCGCATCACGGGGTTCCGAGATGATGCAGTGATGAAGACGCGTGCACGTTGAACTTCTTTCGCACAGCACTAGCCAACCATGCTCGTGAGAGGTGCAGGGGGAAGAACAACAAACGGAATTCAAAAAGCGCTTCTAGAGAAATGAGATGGTCTCTGAAGGTATAACTCCAGCCCTATTGGACACACGGACCACGACATTCTCTCGTGTAACCGTGTAGACTGCTGGGGTCAACAGATGCTTGGGGGTTATCAAGGCGCATGGCGTGCTCAGGATCACGCCTCATCGATTCGGTAACCACAGCAGCGACGTGTACGCACCGCAGCAGTGGTGCGTACACTCGTTTATTGGCCGAGTCGATCTAGGAGAGGGTCAGCACATGTTCAATCAGAATGTGTCACTGATGTTATCCGTTGCCAGGATTCAAGAATCAGATGAGGAATCCGTCATGCAATTCTCGGACCACTGTACCACTGCTTCCAAAACCCACATGGACCTCCGATTATTCTGCAAGAGCAAGTGATCGTTTGTGGCTAATTAATGACTCGTTCATCCATGAGTGGTCAGTGCCGCTCAATGCACTCTCTTTCTCCAAAGTCTTCCCTGAGTTTCAAGACTCTTCTCAAGATTAAATTTTGATTTAAAGCTTTCGTGACTGCAGTAATTCATATTCTTAGTTCTTTCGTTAAAGTCACGTTGAAGGGAAACAATAAAATAATAAAATATATATAAAAAAAACAAAAATATATTATTATTTTATTGTTTCCCTTCAACGTGACTTTACCGAAAGAAATAAGAATATCTTCTCAAGATGATTTTGATGTTTGGCAAATCACATTTTTTTCGGGAGTATTTCTCACGTGGGAGAAAAACCGAGACTTCCCGGAACAAACCCCCCCCCCACCCCCCAAAATAACTTCGCTGTATCGCCCTGCCATGTCCTGGCCACTTCGCAGGCTCGGGTATACGGGAGGACTGTTTCGAGAACACGAACTCTCAAGTCCATCCCCGATCGAGAACCGAGCTTGCACGGTTCGCAGTGGCTGTGGAAATGTGACATGAGTGGTATCATCGAGACTGCCGCGTAAGAATGAATGGGCATGAAGCGTGTGGCTGGTCTCGTCCTGTCCCTCGCGCCCATTCACGCACAGACAAATACAAATATTCCCCATACAGCCTTTAACAGACTGTTAGGGAAAGTGCTGTTAGAGAGCACGTAAGAAGGTCGGAACGGCACACGAGGGGGTGGTGGGTGCCCAACAACACGCCCGGCCACCTTCGTCTCCCCGGTGGCGATGTTTACACACCGCACCGGGTACTCATTTGAGGCGGAGTATACCTAAGAGAGACCCAGAACCGGTTCAAGTAATCGTCGCTGGTGTTGGCAGGAATCGAACTCGGGTGGCTCGGGTTCGTAGCGCAAGCGCGTAGAAACCGCTCCACGACCGCTCCCCCACATTCATCACACGCAGGGCCACGTCGCCGCCTGCCGTCAAGATAATGAAGCTTCACGGGGCTCAAGGCAAAGCCTTTCCGGGGGGTACCCAGTGGAGGAGTGGACGTGGCTCATTCAGAGTGGGGAGAGTCCGTGTAGCGTCTTGGGTGCCTAATGCTCACACGGCGCGCGTCTCGTGATGTGTAAATAAACCACGACGGCCCTGTTGTGATGTTTTTATTTATTTCACTGGAGCCCTGCGAACATTTGTCGTTCAACGTGTGCCCCGTGAATTTGGGGTTCAGACGTGAGCACAGCGGATTTGTGTTCACGCGAGCCCCGTGGGCTCCGTGTCCACGTGCGAGTCACGTGGGATTTTTTTTGTTCTTGTGAGCGCTGCAGATCGGCATCCGCGAGCCGTGTCCAGGGAGTGATCACGCAAGGTTACACCACTGCCAGCAGTGACCGGAATCTCAATGAGTCACGACGGAGTGGTAGGAAGAGGAATGAGGATTCTCACGTGGATCCTAGTGGGCCCCAGTGCCCAAGTGAGTCGGTAGAAGGAGGATGAATCGCGCGCCGACGGTGGCTGCCTGTGAAGTGTGATGAGCACTAGCCGGTTGCTTGTTGATTTAAATGAACAAAACAACTATGGAGGCATTTTCACTTTCAGTTGCTTTTATGCAACCGATTCGAGGAGCTCGAGCCGGGGAGCCGCGGCGGAGCTGTTCCTACACGCGAGTGTGGCTCAGCTTGGAATGAACGGCTCAGGAGGAGGTCCCAGCGCCCCTGTCTCGCCTCCTGCCCCCCCCCATCCCCTTCCCCCATAAGTCGGGGTATGCTTCGAGCCCTCCACCCGTTGCGTTTTCATCTCGGTCACGTCCCGGCGCTCGCCGATACCCAGCTCTGCGCGAGTGTTGGCGCTCGCGTGCCGCTGTGCGGGTTTGGCCGCTGCATTAATTCCTCCCCCAGCCCATCCATAGCCTCCTCGCCAGAGGCCCCGGGAGTGGGAGGGGGGGGGGAGTTTGTTTTATATATATATAAATCTGAATAAATGATGGAATAATTAATGAAAGGCGGCGTTTCCGCGGATGAGTGAGCGTCTTCCATCACGTCCACTTAGTGCCATCATTGCGCGTCGGCCGCGATCGGCCCGGTGGTCGCGCGTGTCTCCGTGACCATTGCGTGTTTGCACATTCTCGCCCGACCCGGCGATGCGCGACTGACAGGACGTCGATGCTGAGAAACGACAACTCCGAGCCAGCACAGAAAAGCGCGTGCTGATGTATTTCTAATCTTGATCGATCGTCCTCATCAACTCTTATCATAATCATCTTGATTATCGCCGTCTCGTGCGTAAGCCTGCATGTATGTATGTATGTTCAACTTCTTTCGCGCCATACGTGGTGTACGTGGCCAACCGTGCTAATCGGAGGTGCATGTCCCATCTGTCGCCACACGAGGTTCCATGCATCATCACAATAATCATCATCATCATCATCACCACCACGTGTCGCACATTCAGACGCGCCTCCAATTCAGTTTACGCGAATTTAGAAAGAAACGCATCTGCCGCACGTGCGCTTTGCCAAATGTACGGCTTAAGTGCCTTAGCAAAGGAAGCTTGTATCATTCTTACCACTACCGCGACAAACACACACATACGGGGAGAATGAGGTTCACTCAAAATGCATTTATTGAAAATTCAGATATGTTTTCTGCATTTGTAGTAATGACGATCGGGGCTTCATTGATTTATTGGCACCGCCGTTAAAAAGAAGAGACTGTCCCCACGTGACCGGCTGTACCTACGAAATCGCCTCCTCCTCCGCCGCCCGGGGGGGCGTAGAGCGCTTCACCCCCCACCCTCCCCGGAGCTCACCTGACGGTCACCCCCCGCCCCCTTCCGCGCCCACGGCTGCCGGCACGGAGCCGCTACGCGGACATCTCAGCGCAGGGCCGGAGTCGCCGTCGTTGCGAAGAGCATTCCGCGGTGAGCGTGTAACGCGTGAGCGCAGCGGTGTTCTTTCGCGAGCGCGTTCGTGCCAGCAGCGGCGAAGCCCGTGTTGCGAGGGTGGTAGGAGGGGAGGGGCTGGAAGGGGAGGGAGGTGGTGGAGAAAGGTCGCGGCGTCGACAAGAGGAGGGCGGGCGAGCTGGGGTCTGCATGAAGCCCGGGCTAAGCGGGGAGCGAACCCTTGCACATTCCCTCCCGACTCGCGCGCATTGCGTCTCGATTACGCTAGGTGCGAGCAACCCTACCGGCGTGCGGTGTAGGCGGGTGTGCGGCATCCCCCGTGCGTGCGCGTCTGCACGCGCGCGCGTGCGTGTGTGTGTGTCAACGTGCGCGCCTCGCCGTGCCGCTCAGGGAGGAAGAAGGAGCGCAGAGGCGGGGCGGCCCGTGGGAGGCGACTCTCCTCCTCCTCCTCCTCCTTCTTCACCCTCCTGCAGCCCGGCGGGCCGGCCACTCGCGTGCTATGTCCAGGATGTACGTTCGGCGCCGAGTCCCCGAAGCCGACAGAAACGGCGGCGATCCTAGGGTCGCCGGCAAAAGGAGCTAGGCGAGGCTGTCCGCCGCCGCCGCCGCATTCTCCTCGGGAGCGCGCGGCGCTCGCACGGCGCTCGCCCCCGCACAGAGCGCGCCGGGCTATGGGTGCGCACGGCGCGACCGGGACGCCTCGCCCCCCGTGGCCGCTGCTCGTGTTGCTGCTGTGGCTGGCTGCGGGGCCGCCGGGAGTCCAAGGGGAAACCGCGGAACGCACCGAACTGGCGGTCATGGGCCTCATGCCCCTGGGCGTGACGGCGGAGACGGGCGATGACATCGGGCAGGTGGTGCTGCCCGCCGTGACGCTCGCCGTGCGCCACGTGAACCAGGACGCGTTCCTGCTGCCCGGCTACCGCCTCGGCCTCAAGTGGTACGATACAGAGGTATTCTCTTCGGTCCATTGCCGGTACTTTTTATTCTCGCACTACTCGGTCCTCGCGTACTCGCCGTGTGCTCGCAGATCACGACGATAGTCGTCTATTGTCTCGGGCATGGTTTCACGTTGTCGTGCTCTGTGCGCTCTCTGAGTGTGCGTGCATGCGTCGATCCTCATATGCGGCATATTTTACGTATGTGCACGCGATTTATGTACGCTTCTATCGTACCGTGAGTAGGGTCGCCACCGCAACGTCAACGCAGCGCACGATATGCGCACCTTGTTCGGCATTGAATCAGGACGCATTTAGACCCGGAGGGTCCGAGCCAGCGGACGAGTCACTAAATAATAAAGAAAAGCGCGGGCGGTGGATGGGGGGGGGGGGGGGCACTGCAGGTGAGTAGGGGGCATGGGATGAACCCTGCCGGGAGCCGCTGCCTCCTCGAACTCGTGAGAACGGGGACCGAGGCCCCCGCTTGCCCGAGCCGCCTCCGCTCGTTTCGCACCGCGACGCGCCCCCTCCATAGCAACTCCTCCGACGTGTCCGTTCCATCCACGTGTCGCGCGCATCGACAACTTCTTCGAGAACAATCCCCTCCTCGATCAGAGGGGCCCCGTCTCCACGTGGAAGGGGATCCACACGGGTTTGGGGGATCCGCATCTCGAAACGCTCTACAAAAGTGGCGGCCGTCCATCACGGGAGATAGCGAGTAAAGGTAAAGAGAAATAGACTGTCGTATGCGAAGAGAAAGGCAGTGGGTCTTGTCTCTGGACAGGGCACGTGATGCGCGCACGTCTGACACCGAACGCCTGAGCACGAACAGCGGCTGCGGACCAAGGGACCCCCCCCCCCCCCCCCGAGCGATAGCGGCGCCAAGGAGCCTCAGGGCTGTGGAGCCGCAGGGCTCCTTAGCGCCGGTGACTGGTGGAGGGGGCGATCGTGAGTAGGCAATGACGATTGACTGACTGATTGATTGACTGACTGATTGATTACTTCTCTCCTGCCCCCGCGCTCGCCCCTTGGCCTCGCCTCGCCGTAGCTATTAAGGGATTTGGCTGGGATCAATTAATTTGTTCCAGCTGGTGTAATAATAATAATAATTGTTCAAGTCTGAATACTAATTGTTGTATGTACGTCGCTTTTACCGTGGTGTGGGGATCTGGGCACAGGGCAAAAGGGGGAGTAGGGTGGAGCCGACTCGAGAAGGAGCGGTCCGAGATGGCCTGCTGGTCTCTTCTCCACCACCCCCCCCGGGCAGTCCAATTAACTTTAGTTAATACGAGGCTGTGGGGGGAGGGGTGATGGAGGGAGGGGTGGTGGTGGTGACGGGGTGCTGGGGGTAGTAAGAGCGATGCGTGACGCCGGGACGCGGAACGCCGAGTCGTGCGCGCACCCTCTCTCAGGACGAGGCTTCAAAGCCGCTCGTGCTCAGCCTCCATCTGTGCTTTGTCAGTTTTTGTTTGGGGTTTCGCCTTTCATGTGGTGCTATATTATGACTGTTATCATCCTCGCCATAGTTAATATGCATTTCATTTGTCCGTGCGTGACACTCGTGTTAGGGGCCCAGTGTAGCCGCCTCGATGCTCAGGCGAGAGCTCGGGGAGCGATGGCGCAGTGAGTGGAGCACCTCCTGCACTGTGCATCCGGCGACCTAAGTTTGATTCCGGTCCTGAGCATCCCCACCCCTCCGCTGCCCCGTCGCTCCCCGTTCACCCGGACTCACCAGCGTGGTGAAGTATGGCCAAGAAATCTCCATGGCCGATATTCCATAAGGAGGCCTTCATCCATCAGTGAATTAATAAATCCCTCAATTGTCATTATAATTAATTACCATAATAACAAATTATCATTATAATTAAACATTATACTATCCCAGTGATACGAGAAGTGTGATGGTGCCTGCATAAAGGATCACTGGTCCACGCTATTCCGGGACCAGGCGCCTCTAAGGGGTCATGTCCCTGACACTCGCCGGTCTCGGCAGTGGGAGTTGGTGGGGGGGGGCTCACAGCGTGAAAACGACTGAAACGGACGCCTCGGGGGAGAGCCGCCGGGGAAGCGGTGGCACTCGAGGGCTCTAAATCACATCTGCAGCATGACGAGGTGTCATGCATTCGTGGTACAGCGCGCCAGGCGACGCGGCACCTGGCGACAACGCCTGTGAGCTGACACGCGGGGATCTGGGGAATGTGGAATCTTGGCAGCGCACAGAGGACCCAACCCACCCACCCTCCGCGTCTCCCCGACTCCAACAGGGGGCGTATGGCGGTGTCCACTGCCCGAGTCTTCCACCTGAGCGCGCTCCCCCTCCCGCGCAACCACTAGCACCAACCACAACAACTACAACAACAATACACCAAGAATACACACATCCTGTTGCCTATTCCCCAGCCCGGACGCAAGCACGCTATGACCTGCCCCATCTGCCAACGGCGCCTCTGCCGACACGGCGAGACCGGGCACCAGGGGACATCACGCAGCCCGTATAATTCACCTTTGCCAAAGCAACATCATCTTCCAATTACCACTGCGCTTACACCTGCGTAGTAGTAATGGTTCACGTGGATGCATCTGCTGGAGATTAGCGGGGCCACGTTACAATATTGCAAGCATTTATGTGAAGTTCCTTCCCCCACTGGCTGCACATCAAGGATCACTCTGACCCTTGACCTTGGGTCTCTGAAGCGTGACTGATTTAAATTATTTGGAGATGCCCGTGTTATTGGAGGTCCAGCGAAAGTAACGATTCCATGTTTTATGATAGCATCCAATGAGCAGTCATGAAATATGGCACACTCGTGCCATGGCCTCGCTCGCGCGTTCTCGCTTCGACAGCATCTCCCCTCACCCTTCTCTGGGCGCGCTCTGCCCGTGGAATCATGAGTTAATCTGCAGATGTTCAGGGCGCCACGGTGGCAAGATGTTGGATACCTCGCCTGGTATACAGGCACACTCCGGTCACCCTCGCAGCGGCTTTTGGCTAACCAACGGTCACAGCATCGTGCGCTTTCGGATGCGCTTCTGCGGCCGTCTGGAATGCTCTTCCTTCCGATATTATGAAGCCACTTAAGCGATGCTCTTTTAAATCTAGATTGAGAAACTCACTTCTTTACAACTGCTTTTGGTGTTTAGTTTGGTTACGCACGCAGCACATACATACAGGTCGCGGATTCGATCCTGACCCTGACGCTTGTATATTTGGAGTTTGCTAGTTCTTATTCCCGGGGTTGCATGAATTTGTCTCCTGATCCTCCAGTTTTTCCCTCCACGTTTATAAACACGCATTTCGAGAATTTGGCTGCGATTCATTTCCACATGATAAGCCACCTCGTTGACCTGCCATTTGTGGCCAGATCGCTTCTGAAAATTGAGCTGTATAGCTCAGTGGGCCTTACCTGGTAAAATACCCCCAAAAAATGTGTGTTTTAGTTTTTTCGTAGTTGCTGATCCACAACCACCACCACCACCACCACGGAGAAGATCAATGGCTTTACTGTCAGCCTGTCACCACCCCTACTGCTTAAATCCTGACTTAAGACCTCCCTCTCCTCTCTTGCATTTGATTGATTTCTGTTTTCGTCCCCTCTGCCTGCCTGCTCGTTCTATATTGTATTTGCACATCGTGCGCGTAATGTGCTCGCTCGCACGCTTCCGTTCGTGCCTATCGCCGCGCCGTCAAGTGCGCACTCCTCCTCCGCTTCTTATTCTTCTGCCACAATTTGCGTGCGTCTCGAAGCACTTCTCGTTCGAAGATATTTAAAGCCGCAAGGCGTACAACGACTAATACAGCAAGCGTATCAATAATGCAGTCGGTTATTCGAGCTATTGGTGAAACTCTGCGCTTTGGGGCTGGGGGCTTCATGAAGCGATGGAATTAACTGGCGATATTTGCAATAATCCAATAACGTGTACAAGGCGGGTCGCGGCCAACCAAGGATGCGCTGGGCGTGCCCATAAAACACGAGTTGCGCGGCAGGAATCGGGAGGAGCGATTCGAACCCACGCTCTTAGCGCCAACCCAAGGCCAGCCATGACCCTGACCCTGACCGTGACCAGTTCCGTGGGTGTGAGAATGGGGTTCAGGCGCACGGGTTTTAGACACGCGCGGCGCTTTAGGGAATCGACGCCTTCCATTGGTTGTTAATCTCCGGCCATTGTTTGCCATTGTCTAAATGTGCCCCGTGCACGCATTCATGCATGATGCGTCCATAAGTTGATAGGCTCGTTTCTTCTGTCACACGCAGCAGCGCCGGGGCGGTTGTGAACGCGCGCGGCAGAACTGAGCGCGATTCGGAGAAACTGCGTATCCGGTCAGAGAGTGCTGGATCCTGCCTTCAAGCAAGGCGCTCTCCTCAATTGGCCAGATGGTGCCGAGCTTAATTGATGGAGGCCTCGCTGCTTGGAGTCAATTACATCCCAGAAATTACCTGCTGTCCCTATTGGGCTTCCTGGGAAATTAAACGTGTACGCGGCATGCGGAGAGCGGCGACACACCGCACGTTGCGTATGTAGAGCGAGCCTAGCTCCGTCACGTGTCACATAATTGGACAATCATCGCTTTTTATTATTTTGTACGGCTGATGGAGATGCAGAGCAACAACTTACAACGTCACATTTAGGTGGCCAAGCCCAGGGAACCGCGTCAGGAGTAGTGGAGTGGTGTATCGTCGCTGTGATGCCTCCTTCGTATTTGTGGATAGGGCATTGCGTCATTATACGTTGTACGGTCTGTTCTGGGTGACCACAGTCGCTACTGGAGAGTTTTTAAGTGTACACTCGTGCATCAGGTGACCGCATCTGCGGCTTGTGCAGTGGATGCGGTTTAGGGTGTTGTCCCATGAGCTGCGTGGGCAGATCGAACCCAGGGTTCGCCGAACCGAGACGAGGGGCGTGCGTGCGGAGCGCGCCACGGCTACGGCCGGAGGAGTTCCTTCCTCTCCACGTGCCCTGCCTCCTCATCCCGTGCACCGTCCAATCCCCGCGGTTTGCATGGCTCATTAGCGGCGGCGACGGCCTCGTGTCCGGCATCCGAGAGGCGTTGGGGCGGTTGTTAGAAATTGGGCACGGGGCGCCCCACAGCGCTCGTGGTGTTGTGGGAGGCTCGAACTTTTTTTCTGTTTTAGCGCAGCCCCTGGGGTGTCTGGAGCTATGGGGCGCCTTCTGGAAGTGGCGCGTTTTTTTTTACAGCCAACTCCCTCACGTTCCTTCCACCCCCCGCCATTTTTCGCTGCATTCACTTTCAAAGGATCGCGGCGTGACCTCTGACTTTAGTGCTTTGGGAGACCTTTCGGGAGGGCACCTTTTTGTGAGCGTCCCCGCGGCAGGCGGTAGAAAAATGAGGCTGTTGAGTAATTAGTAATTAGCGCCGAACGGGAGCGGAGCGCCTCGCGGAGGCTGCGATTGTGCGGGTGCCGCTTCGCGTGAACTCGCTCAGGAAGCGGTACGGGTGGGGGGAGCAGCGATGGCACGTTGGGGCATCGTTAATAATGCGCGATGCAAAGGTCTGGGGTGGGAATGCCTATAAAAACCAGTGGCTAGACTGACCGCAAAAAGCAATCTCCCTGCATTAATCATCTCAAAAACACTCTCGCCGCAATCGCACGACTGCGCTTAAAATATTCACGTTCCATGCGAAACAAAGGCTTATTTTCCCCAGTTGGGGAGATGGCCACCGTGAACGATCTGCGCTTCTTAATTGATGCCAGGGAGCTTTCTTTAGAGTGCGCGTACAACTGAGCGCGGGTTTTGACAGTCCGGATTTGCCGTGCTCGCGTCTGCGAGGAGAGAGAGCTGTGTGCGGTTGTCACAATACTCATTATTTGTGTTGGATCAGGGCATCTTTCGAGAGTACAAGATGAGCTCGTGTGAGACGACCGAGGGCTCTCTCGGAGGGTGGCACCGAGCTGGGACTACCAGATTGTCCGCAACGGCCGTCGGCTCAGTCGTCAAATGAAGTGTCCATTAAACATGCATTTGCCACGGTGTGCAATGGGAAGTGTGATATCGTGAGTTGGAGGAGTTGGGCAAACAGCATCTCGTGATCGCTCTGTGGACGTTAATGACGGCGGCTTCGGTTGGTACCGAAAATAACATTTCGCCGTTTTTGTGCAACCTTTGCAAAAGAAATAAACGATGCCTCTACATCGGTAGTGGCTTTTCGTTCTTGATTAAAGAGTCAAATTCTCGCTAAAGCGAAACGGCGCAGCGCAGAGCACCGTGTAACGCTGCAACGCAAGCGACGTGAGGATCGGCTTGGGTGGGCAGCGGGCAGCACCCTGTGACTCGCCGGCTCCGTTTCTGAGCTCAAGGCCCTCTCTCGCTGCCAGGGATGCGACCAGAGCTGTCTTAGTGGCGCATCGATCCCGCCTGAGTGTGGCGTCGGTAAGGACAGGAAGCGCCCTCCTCTCACTTACCTCCCGTGCTCGCATCATCATCCCATGGCCGCTCTCCAACCCCAGTCCCAACAAAACCACCCTTCCTCTCTCCTCTCAGCTGTCGCTTGCCCCGGCAGGCGCGGGGACGGGCGGGGGGGGGGGGGTCAGCTTGGCAGCGTGGCATTGGCACTTCACAGAATCCATAATTTATTTACCTCCCTCCTAAAAATAACATTTACATAGACGCCTTGTTGCAAGTGGCTCCATTGTGTGCGCTGTGACTCCAGACCAAAAAAACAAAGCAACAAACGAAACCAGAGTACTCAGCACTTGTCTTGGGGAAACTGAAACGTGCTGACCCGCGCTGCGCCCGGCTGAATATCAAGTCGCTGAAGCGTGAATCAAAACAAACGTGTTCTATTTTGCCCTCTGGAACAATGTCGGAGTGGCTGCCCTGCGAGGCGTTTGACCCCCCCCTCCTCCACCTACCCCGCTGTTACCCGGCAGGTTGTTTGGTCTCGGAGGCGCACTGCGCTTTTGTTTTTTTAGTTTGGTGTTTTATATTTCATGTCGGGGTTTCCCAACACATTTTCAAGCTCCCCCGGAATTTCAGGAATTCGTTGTGGACTTGCGCCTCCTGCATGGCTTACGGATCCCACGGTTAGGCAACCTTAATCGCCCCCAACCGAGCGGTAATGGCCAGGGCCAGGGTGATTAACATTTTATTGCATCTTTATCTGTCTCACTCCGTGTCTTCTGCCTTTCTGGCATCTTTCCACAACGTGTTCTCTGGTAGTCAGCGGGGGGTCTGTGGATGGAGACCGGCAATCTCGGTTGTAATTCTGCGGCACGCCCGTTGGAGCAGCCCCTGGATCCGCCGTTAAGAGCCGTGCTGGCACGTTAACAGGCCTCCTATTGCCACGGCCGTGTGCTGACGTGTACAGTGCGCACCTCACGCTTCCCCACATTACTGTCAAACGCAAAAAATGCGGCCGCTTCGTGTCTCAAGGCTGAGCCCCACGCCGGACTCTGTCGCCAAGCTGGAGGGACTGAATGTGATGGCAAACCCCCGTTGCGGAGCGCGCGATTTGAAAGCGCGTCGTGCTGTCAACTCTTACGGCGCATCTTCTTGGTTCTTTCGGTAAAGTCCCTTCTGCGTGACTTTACCGAAAGAACCAAGAAGATTAATGCATGCCGTCACGAAAGCTTTAAATCAAAAATCTTACGGCGCAGTTTTTGGCTTTGGGCTTTGTCGCAGACGGTCACGTCGTGCCACTATTGTCCCCTGTGTTTCTGCACCCCGCCCCCCCCAACCCTGCCCCCACCCACCCCTGCCCAAAGTGTGACAATGCCAAGGGGCTCAAGGCATTTTTTGATGCCATCAAGAAGGGGCCCACGCACCTCATGATTTTCGGGGGCGTCTGTCCCTCCGTGACCTCTACGATCGCCGAGGCCCTGCAAGGATGGAACCTGGTTCAGGTAAGAGTTAGCTCCATCCTCGCCGCTCCGCACGTGGGCCCCTCTGATGGCGGGCAGCCCTCGGCACGCGGTGTCGTGCGGTCACGTGTGCCCCTCCGGCGGCAGCGTCTTGAGCAGACGGAGGCGCCACGAGGAACGTCCTTGTGCTGTATTTGGTTTGATGCGTCCACGCTGTACGGACGTGAGGAACGTAATGGAATTGTTTTGCTTTGCTGCAAATGGGATACGAAATGTCTGGCTGGGTTTGTTGTTGGTGCTCTTTATCTAGGACCACCGTTTGATATTGGTGCATTGATTTGTAATCGAACGCGTGGATCCGGGCTAGATTTCGAAACAATTAGTTTTACATTTAGAAACTTTCAGTTTATTCTGTTAATTACACGAAAGTTTTGTTTTGCAAGACATTAAGTGAAATGCAAATTGAGTGTTCTAATTAAAACAAAACAACCTGGTCCTGAGTGCGAACAATAATCGTAATTTGAAACACTTACAATTTTTTAGATAGGTTTTTTATGCAGATATTTCACCAATAAGCGTGCATGCGTGTGCACGTCCTCAAGTAATGTCTGGGCTCAAACGAGCATCTACATGCGGCAGAACATATTCCCTGGGCTGGTTCGGGGCACCTCCGTCTGAATTGCCATGTCCCTGACGTGTGGGCGGCTCCTGCCGCCGGCGTATTGATTGGTTAAGCGTTGCCGCTGATAATTTGTTCATTTTTTAAAATTAGACTGCTGTGCCGCCTTGGACGATCGTGTCCCACTCATCGAGCCGATCTCGCTTCTGTGCCCGGTGCCACCCCCGAACGGCTGCAGAAAATTGATCGCCGCTAAATTTGAATACCGGCCGCCTTTGCAGAGAAGTGGGGCGTTTTCCGAGCTCAGGATTCCACGTTGTGTGCCCAGCTCCGAGCTCAGGATTCCTGAGCTCGGAGCTGGGCACACAACGTGACACTCCGGAACCACGCTTAATCAGCGTGAATTGCCTCTGATGCTAACAGACACGGCGCCTCGTAATTAATGGGCTTAATAAGTGAATGTGCTGGTCTTAGCTTATTCAGTCGCAGAGAGAGAGAGAGCCCGGTGATTGTGAGCGTGTGGATTATTTATTTCAATTGTGCTCGTCTTGATATCTCGTGAGGGGCAGTGAATTAATGTTGGATGCAGAGCAGCGGGAGTTGACTTGAACACACAGGCTCACAGGAAGGGGTTGCTGGTTGCACCGGTAGCGCGTGTGGTGCTGGCAGAGCTTGCGCTCGAACTTTCGGCTCCCCCTTCTGTGCATCGCTTCTCGAACCCAGCAGATGATCAATGGCCACGCTGTGTAATTTGCCACGCAGGTTAATTAAAACGTTAATGTGTGATGCTGCTTCGGCATTGCGAAATGTTTTAAATGTTGTTTATAATGATACAAAATAAATGCCATGATGAATGTAGGGCCTCATGTCAATCCCCTGCTAGATGAAGGTATCCTCACCACATGTTTGAAACGTGATGGTTGTTTCACCATACTTCACCATCCTGGTCAATGCATATTGGTAAAAGGGAGAGGGGGTGGGGAATTATATATTTTCTGATATTGATTGTTTGTGTGCCGAGTGGTTGTCTTTACCATTGGGCTATCATAGATGGATTTTAAACAATCAAATCCTGCACGTCCACTTTCACACAACCCTCACTTACTTCCTCGCTCTCCCCACCACCCCCACCGCCCATACCCTCTGCAACCCCACCCCCACAACCCTCACAATGCTGCCACAGCTCTCGTTCGCGGCCACGACCCCCGTGCTGGCGGACAAAAAGAAGTACCCGTACTTCTTCAGGACGGTGCCCTCGGATAACGCCGTCAACCCGGCCATCGTGCGCTTCCTTCACCTCATCAAGTGGACGCGTGTAGGGACCCTGGCACAGGACGTGCAACGCTTTTCTGAGGTTTGCGGCATCAGCAGGGGACAGCACCAGGGACAGCAGTAGTGACAACCATAGACATCACTGGGAACAGCACCAGGGGTAGCACTACGGACAGCACTAGGAGTAGCACCACGGACAGCACCAGGAGTAGCACCACGGACAGCATCTGGGGTAGCACCATGGACAGCACCAGGAGTAGCACCACGGACAGCACCAGGAGTAGCACCACGGACAGCATCTGGGGTAGCACGATGGACAGCACCAGGGGTAGCACCATGGACAGGACCTGGGGTAGCACCACGGACAGCATCTGGGGTAGCACCATGGACAGCACCAGGGGTAGCACCACGGACAGCACCTGGGGTAGCACCACGGACAGCACCTGGGGTAGCACCACGAACAGCATTAGGAGTAGCACCATGGACAGCACCTGGGGTAGCACCATGGACAGCAGTAAGGGCAATAGGAGGGGCAGTCTCCGGGGCAGCATTGGTAGGGAGCAGGGTTTGAGGTTCTCGTTATACTACATGCCGTGTGGTGTTGATGTGGGGCACAGGTGTAGGAGCTCAAGAGGAGGGGTGGGTCATGAGTGTCGCACACATTGAAGGAAGGTGACAGATTTTCCAGACATTATAGAAGGAAACACGATGATGATGCAGCACATGTGGCGCCAACGTAAAGATCTATAGCCATCTTCATTGCCGCATATGACGGGACAGATGTGTTCCAGTGAAAGATTCCTTGGCAATTGCCCCCAAGGGTGCTGTTAATTGGCTCGCATTGCTTTCCCTTCGGTTGTCTGAGAATCTTTAATTTGCAAACCCGATAGCAACATGGCAATTTGTTTAAGATAGTGGTGCAATGGCTACCACACGTGTATTTCTGGAGAGGGAAATAAAAATATCCCTGGGAAAATTACCCAAGTGCAGAAAAACACAATAATTACGGTGGATGGAGGCGGTGAAATGCGAAGGCTTTTTTTGCCTGGAGAAGGCTGAGTTCACTACCCACACAGGTCCACAATGACCTGACCAAGGAGCTGGAGAAGATGGACATCGAGGTGGCCGACACGCAGAGTTTTTCCAACGACCCCTGCGCCAACGTACGCAAGCTCAAGGTACGATGGCATGCTCGCAGATGCCTCCCACTTGGCTGCTTGCCTTGAATTGCACGACTCTTGTCGGTTGGTCAAAGTAACGGCGAAGCGGTTTCAGGAGTGGAGGCTTTGGAGAGTGGAGGGGTTGACAAGTGGAATCCGATGGGGGATTATCGCTGGGGTCATTACTTAGTAATGACTTTCACGAGGTCTGAATTTGATTGTATTTTTAGATGAGTCTGAACTCGAGTGTGGGGAATGTTCCTGAAGCAATTAAATATAGTACAGACCGAAGAGGCGGAATGAAAGTTATTGGTATGGCAGACTGATACTGGATTCTTGGGATGCGTTTTTTTTCTTGCTCAAGATGTGAAGACGGTGACACTCGGAGAGAGAAAGGATGCTCAGTCAGTCTTTTGGTTGCACTGATTAATGTTGTGCGTGACAATCCATTGCTAGACGAAGGCCACACTATTTCCATGCATTATGGTCCCGCGATATCGACATCAATCCTCACCCTTCACACGGGCTGATGCACACACACACACACCGACCTTTCATCAACCACACACTCCCCATCAGCCGCCTCACCTTAAGCTCCCACTAGCCTCGAACCGGGCCGTCCCTGAGCTGCAATCCGGCAACTGGTTGCTCGTCGCACGCCGTATTGGTCGCGTTGTCCCGCATGCGGCGCAGGCGGTGGCGGTAGCTACCGACGTGGGGAAAGCGGGGCAGCGGGAGCCCCCTGTTTTAATTCCTCTGCACCGAGGCCCACGCGTACCACTACGCTACACCACTGAGCTCTGATATCCCTTGTCAAGAATGGGCCACAGAAGCACAGAAGTGCGGCAGCCAGAGCTCCAACACTGCCACGGAGAAGAGTTTAAAAAATCCCCCCCACCTCCCCACCGTTGCCACGTTTCATTTTTCAACATCGCCAAAGAAAGGGACAAAAACGACCGGCGTTACAATAATTGGGCTCGTGATGCGGAACATTTCCTGGAATCTAATGGATCTGCGTGAAATATTAATACGAAAAAAAAACCAAACCCCAGACTCGTGTGCTGACCTACTTATTATCTTCTGTTCCAAGGACGCCGACGTGAGGATTATTCTGGGACAATTCGACGAGGAAATGGCCACCAAGGTGTTCTGCTGCGTAAGTCACCGTCGGGTTTAATTCGAGGGGGAAATGCGTGCGATCCGCCGTGAGCTCCTCTCCTCCCGCAGCACCTCGGCTACGCCGCGTCAGTAGACAAGCGTGGCGGGGTGTTTATGAATGCGCAGGGCCGGCGCGTGTTCGGCATGTTTGATGTGCGGCCGCGCGATGACCGTAAGCAGCAGCGACAGGGGCTTATTGAAAACAGTGGCACGGCCACGAGATCCCTGTTCGCACACTCGCGGCGCGCCGAGCACACCGAGACAATGTCCTGACCTTTCGGGGGCAAAAAATTATTCCTCCTTTTGAGAGCCGCAACAAGCTCTGCTATTGGGATTTTGATCGAAAGAATGGTTTGTTTAATGCTCGAAGGATTAGGGAAGCGCAGGGTGCAGGCTGATGAGTCAGCAGGTTTTGTGAATCGCCCTTTCGCTGCCGGCCGTGCGCTCTCACCCATCCGCCACCCCCCCCTTCCCCCCGGCAGGCCTACCAGGAGTCCATGTACGGCAGCAAGTACCAGTGGGTGATCCCGGGCTGGTACAGGGAGCGGTGGTGGGAGCGCACTCGGCCCCCTGAGTGTCCTGAGCGCGGCCTTTTTGAAGCCATCCAGGGAAACATCGCGGTCGACTTCATGCCTCTCAGCACCCGGCCCATCCAGACAATCTCTGGGCAGGTGCGCTTGTGTGCACGTGTGTGTGCACGTGTGTGTGCACGTGTGTGTGTGCGTGCGTGTGTGTGTGCGTGTGTGTGTGCGTGCGTGTGTGCACGTGTGTGTGTGTGCGCGTGTGTGTGTGTGTGTGTGCGCGTGTGTGCATGTGTGTGTGCGCGTGTGTGTGCACGTGTGTGTGCACGTGTGTGTGCACGTGTGTGTGCACGTGCGTGTGCACGTGTGTGTGTGTGCGTGTGTGCGCGTGTGCACGTGTGTGTGTGCGCGTGTGTGTGCACGTGTGTGCACGTGTGTGTGCACGTGTGTGTGCACGTGTGTGCGCGCGTGTGTGCATGTGTGTGTGCGCGTGAGTGCACGTGTGTGTGCGCGTGTGTGTGTGTGTGCACAAACAACCCCCTAACTCCTCGTTGGTGCCAGATGGCAACGGTGTGGTGGGCAATGCCGTGGTGGGAGGGCCTATTTAGATAGCCCATTCCCCTCATGGCGTTTGCAACCACCGCAGCGGCCAAATGGGGGCTCTGGACGGGTGCGAGGGGCTGGTAACCCCTCCACCTTCAATTAATTACCACGAAACCACGATTTAAACATTTTATTAAGGTTGTGCCGGAGTCCCCGGGAGGACAGGCGTCTATGACGTCTTCTGGCCAAACCCCATTTGGCGGAGCCAGGAGACTGAATCCTTACCCTCGGGGCTCCTCCAGAAGCAACAAAAAATTACTACGGGTGGCCACGTGGAATGTTCGGAACGCTCACTGTGAAGGAGAGGCTGCTACTCCTCTGTCGAGAGCTGGACAGGTACCGCCTGGATTTTTGTGGTATTCAGGAGGTCCGGTGGACCGGCTCTGGCTCCTGCCACCATGAGGGGTGGACAGTCCTCTACTCGGGACAGGAGACTGCCAAACAACAGGGAGTGGCTCTTCTTCTGAACAAAATAATGAAGGGGGCGTGGGAGCGTGGCGGTGAGGTGTGAGAAGCTGTAAGCCCCATGCTAATTTGGGCTCGCCTTCCCATCAACCAGAGGAGAGGAGTGGTGGTCGTGGGCACTTATGCCCCCACCGAAGACGAACATCCGTGGAGGGATGCAGGCAAGGCCTATGAGCCAGATGTCTTCTATGACCTCCTGTCACAGGTGTTAGCTAAAGTGGCTCCTCGGGATAGAGTCATCTTGTTGGGTGACTTTAATGCCCGATTCGGTCATGATGCTGGCACCTGGTTTGGAGTGATTGGAAGGCATGGGCCAGATCAGCTCAATAACAACAGTAGGAGGCTGCAAGATTTATGTGCAGCTCATGGGCTTGTAATTACCAACACACTGTTCCGGCATCGGCACATCCACACAACATCATGGATGCATGCCGGATCCAAGCAAGAACATCTGCTGGACTACATTGTGACGGAACAGCGGATGCGGGTCCATGTCCTTGACACCAGGACCTACCGTGGAGCTGATCTGCCCACTGACCATCGACTTGTCATCTGTAAGATGCGCCTGCCATTCTTCCACTCTGGTGGTGGGTGTACACCCAGGACCCCATTCAACCTCATTGTGGCATAGTCTCAGCTAGCTGATGAAAGTTGCAAGCGAGAATTTCATCATCGCTTGTGGCTGGGGTTGGCATCGTCCCCCACTCCTCCTGATGTTGAGGGGAAATGGGCAAAGTTTAGGACTATGGCTCATGCAGCTGCAATGGCTGCTTTGGGTTCACGGTTCAGACTTCCCCAGAGACCCTGGCTGACAGAGGAGGTGTTCAGGCTGGCTAAGAAAAAGCAACACGCCCACTCTCAAAGTCTACAGCATCCCATGTCAGAGAATGAGGAGGCTTACCGCAGCCTTCGTTCGGAGGTTTGGAGAGCCGTGAGATGCTGCAAGGAAGGGTGGTGGTCGCGTGTTGCTGAGGAGATGGAGTCTACCTCAATGGCCCGCGATCACAAATCGCTCTTCAACTTCATCAAAAAAGTAACCAGCAGCGTCACACCTATTACCATCATTTGGGGAAAGAACGGTGATCCAATCTCCGACCCCCAGGAACAGGTTTACAAATTTGTTAAGCATTTCTGTGAGGTCCTGGGAGAGGGGAAATCCATCAGCCTCGAAAACATCATGGGACAAAGTGGGGATGACCTTGCTGAGGCTGCGATGCCTGAAATATTGGAAAAAGAAGTCACCCCCCTGTGAGTGGCTGGCTGAGGTTCCATCTGTTGAGGAAGTACTGAAGGCGATCCAGAGTCTGAGACCAGGAAAGGCACCGGGCAGAGAGCGAAATGCATAGGGAGGGTGGCGTTTGTGCACAGACTGTCTTACATGACATCATAAAAACAGTCTGCACCAATGGACAGGTTCCGCAGGATTGGAAGGATGCCCTGGTGGTCCCGCACAGACTGTAGCAACTACAGGGGCATCTCACTCCTCAGTGTGCCAGGAAAGGTCCTGGCAAGGATTATTCAACATTGCCTTGCCAGGTACGCTGAGGAGAGGCTTGTGGAGCCCCAATGCGGTTTCAGGAAAGGGCGGTCCTGCACAGATGCCATATTTTCTGTCTGTCTGCTACAGCAGAGGTGTAGGGAATTCCAACAAGACCTACGTCTTTACTTTATTGACCTGTCCAAGGCCTACTGTATGATACCATCAGTAGGCCTGGGCTCTGGGTTGTTCTTCGTGCTTTCAGTGTCCCTGGGAGCCATACCCTGTTCATCTTGGGGTGCGGCAGCGATGTCCTCTGGCTCCAACATTATTTAACATCTATTTTGACCACGTAGTTCGTGAAGTCTTCTATAGCTGTACCAGAGGAATTTCCATCTGGTACAGATAAAATGGGAGGCTGATCGATGCCCGGGTGCGGTCAAGGGATGGCTCCCTATTGCTCAACCATGTTATGCATCAATCTTGATTTGGATGGCTATGATCTGGTAATAGCTATTCACTCAGAGGTGGAGTTGGAGGCGCTGCTGCTGAACCTGGAGCTTGCCACTTAGAGGTGGGGCCTTACCATCAGCCCCACCAAAACGAAGCACCTGCCTGGGTATTTTGTACCATCGGACACTCCACCTCCAACAACTTCTAATTGGTGATAGGGCAGTTGTGGAGTGAGTGGAGAGTTTCCTATACCTGGGCAGTGTGCTCATGACCGGCTCCGGTTTGACAGCAGAGGTCTCACTCCGAATCAGTCGAGCGGCATTATCTTTTCATCGGTTTCATAATGCTGTGTGGAAGCTACTTGGTCTGTCGCTCTGCACGAAGCTTCAAGTCTTCTCGGCCACAGTCATTCCCTCCCTTCTCTACGCTTGTGAAACGTGGACCCCCCTAATGGAACATCTTTGCTGGTTAGAAACATTTAGGCTGGTCTGCCTACGATCCATCCTGGGTTTAACCAGGCTGGATTGTGTGAGGAGGTCATAAATCCTTGAAAGATCTGGACAAAGTCCTATCGGTGAGCTCCTCCAGCAGGCAAGGCTGCGTTGGCTGGGTCATGTAGCCCGCATGCCCAGCCCGCGCATGCCGAAACAGCTTTTGTTCGGCCGGATCGAGGGGCATAAACGGGCGTGGCACGGGCTAGAGAAGAGATGGAGTGATGTGGTACAGGAGGGTGTGGAGCTGAGTGGACTTGCTGATGACCGGTACCAGCAGTGTCAAGATCATCCTCTGTGGAGGAGGCTGTTGGAGGCTGTCGCCCTCCAACAACAACAGAGGGCGGAGGAGTGACGCTTGCAACAACGAACGGAGCGCCGGGTGGCTAAAGCACAGCAGGTTGGCACAGGAGGGGGCACAGGTGGTGCATCAGCCAGTCATATCAGTCGTCTCAGTCAGTCGACCCGTGGCACCTGCGTCTGCCCCGTGACCTCCTGCCAGCGGGCGTTCGACACTTCACGTGGCCTCAAGGTGCACATAGCCTGGCACAAGCGTCGTGGTGACGTCACCGCCACTTAGTGGCGAATGGTGGTTGTTGTTGTTGCATGTGGGGAGCGGTGGGCATAGCGGTTGGCGCGCTGCGCTAAGAACCCGGTGACCCGAGTTTGGTTTCCGTTGACAGTGAAGATTATTTCAACCGGTCCTGGGCCACTCCTAGGTTGACTCAGCCTCCAGTGAATACCTGGTGTGGTGTGTATACATCGCCACTCGGAAGACAAAGGCGGTCGGGCGTGGTGCTGACCACCCACCCCCTTGTGTGCCGTGCCGGCCTTCATAGGTGCTCGCTCACAGCACTTGCCCCGACAGTCTTTTAAGGCTTTACGGGGGATCTTTGTCTTTGTGTTCTTCCTCATGTTATGCCTGTGTGGTTTCCTGTTTGTTTGGAGTGGTGTTGTGGTGGTTCGCGCACTCGGCTGCGAACCTGGCGGTCTGGGTTTCATTCCTAGCTATCTGAAGCTGTACCAAGTCACCCCCGAAGTCAAATCAGTTTAAAATGTTTCATTTAATAACTGGTATGATGGGTAAACATCGGTAGAGGGTGTGATGCTGGTCTTCATGCACGGGGGCAGCTTCAATAATTTCTCACAAGCAGGGCTTGTCCCAAGAGTGTTTAAAATGCTGTTCATGGCATATGTCTTGTGTGCGATGCTGGGGCGACTACCGTCATCGATATTCCGAATGTAATTGCTCGCGCGTCTGCATTGTGCGAGTGTGTGAGTTGCACACTTGTCTGCGGGCCTGCATGTCTTCGTGTCTTTCGACGTTTAAATGTCAACGCATCGTGCCAGATTGACATCTCGGACAAAGTGCCGTGACGCCTCGGTGATTTGAACCGTCGCTCGTGACGGACACACCGGGACAATTTCAGTCAAAAACTCCAATGAAAAGAAACATTCGCGGACAAGCGGGATTTGACCCATTTTGTAAACTAATTATCCCCTAATTGTCGTTGAAATCTGTGAGACCAGTTGTGCTGCTGCTGCTATATTAAATAATCGGGCCACAATTTTGAGTGTCTGTAATGGGCGGTCTAAACAAGGCTGTGCGAATGACACACGCGGCACGGCGATGTCGCACGACGCCCTGGGAGGATCAATCCCAGAGTCACGGTCGTGCCTTGCTCCGTCCATAAATCGGCTTGTGCGTATATTATTTATCACTCTGGTGGGTGGTTTTCACATCGCTCGCGAAAGAGGCGCGATGGACTCGGCTTAACTACCACCGGCTTCCCTGCGCGTGCAACGTCCGATTTGGTCCGACCCCGACCCGCCGCCACGGCTGCAGACCCCGCAGCAGTACGAGCACGAGTACAAGCGGCTGCGGCGGGAGTTGGGCGGCGCCGAGGCGGCCACGGCCGGCGCGTCGCCCCACAGCAAGTTCCACGGCTACGCGTACGACGGCGTGTGGGTGATGGCGCAGGCGCTCCACCGCTCCATCGGCCTGCAGCGCGCCTCCAGGGAGCCCAACGCCTCCATCGAGGCCTTCGGCTACGACAACGCGCACCTGGGCCGCACCATCCTGCGCGCCATGAACGAGACAAACTTCCAGGGTGTCACTGTGAGGACGCGTAGCCCACACACTCTTGGCGAGCGCTTTAAAAAAACACACACACACAAAATCGTTTCCACCAATTTGATCCTGATTGTGCTATTGACATCACGTCACGAGACGAAGCGGCCGTGCAGATTTTTCGCAGTGCAGTTCTCCCAGGACAAGCTCCGAGCATTGGGGGCCGCACTGTTCGGTGTCTGCGTGCAGTGCCATCTCACGGGTGTTTACATTGCCGGGTTTCCCCTTTTTGTGGCTTTTTAGTCAGCTTTAATCCCATTGTGCTATCATCATCGCGGCAAGAGATGAAGTAGCCATATGGATGTCCAGCAGAGCAATGCAACCCGCGTTAGAGAACGGCCCACAGAAGCATCATTCATAGAGTTACCCCTGAGAACCCGTCAAGTGAGCTATGTGCCACACGTAACAAAAAAAACTAAACACGTTCATCAGTAACACTGCCTTCACATAGTAGGAGCGTGCACTTTCCCACCCACTCTGCCACTGAGAGTAATGTTCGTCGTGTAAAATTTAAACCAATATTTGTTTTTTTTTTACTTCTCAGTAGGTGCAGGCCCAGATTTAACGCGGTGGCATATTCGTCCAGTCATTGGTGATTGGGCAGAGACCTTCAATTCGTATCCCACCGATATCCTGTTGCTAGCGATAAAACGACTTTGCGGGCCGAATGCCTTACTTGTACTCGGAGGTGGGCTGGATGGTCCACGGAGCGCATGAGGGGTCATCACATTGGCTTCGACTCTGGCGAGGGAGCCCACAATGACCTCGTGGGGCGTCTGGACGGCACGACGCCGCCACCGTCATAATGATCACAGCTGTGACGCGGCGGGGGGAAGGCCGATCGTGTGCCGCACGTCACGGGGTGTCGAGTAACTCATTCGCAGAGGGGGTTGGGGGGGGGGCAGGGCAGGCGCCGCACGGGCAGTTTTGGCCAGCAGAGCGCAGAGGGGGTGTGGTGGTGCATCCTGTGCCTGGCTCGGTCCGCTGCGGGTGTTCACGAGCGAAGGAAATTAATGTGCGAATGCTGCAGTGACCGTGCAGAGTGTGTCTCTCTCGCTCTCTCTCTCGTTCTCTCTCTCTCTCCGCTCCTCCGCTTAATGTAGTTAGATTCATCTGTGGAAATGCAGACGCTCCGTTAAGAAGAAGGAGAAGAAAAAAAACTTGCAGCATTTGCAGTTAAAACCTTGGACGGCATTAATGAAATGGGAGTGAAAGCACTCGCGCAGCCGCTGGCACATTAGCCGCGTTCCCCCACGCCGCGCGGAGCGACAAGCTGCTCGATAATGGTCGGGGTCCGGACGGAAAATAAGCTGGCGCACATCACCGACACCGGCATTTACAGGAGATGCTGATGCAAGCACGGGCGTGCGCGCACAGGCTGCCGTCTGGAGATGCGCCCCCCAGCACGCTTGTTTTTGTTTGGAAAGTCGCTCCCACCGCGATATGTCGTCGCGTGACACGGCAGCTGTAACACAAAACAGGCAGCTCGAGAGGCCTGCGAGCGGCGAACACGGCACGCGCCCTCTCTGTGCCTCCAGCGGCGACGCCAGGCCGTCGCTTGGCCTATGCGGTCCGCTTCCTTGAGCGGAGTCGCCACCTCTCCTCCCTGCCTTCCCCTGGGATTTTCCTCTCGATCTCAAGGTAGCCGGGACATCTGCGAGTCTGCGCGGGACATTAAAAAGTCACGGGGGTTTTGTCGGTTGTGTAAATAATTCGGCGCTCGAGACGTTGCTCTTTCATGCGGGGTCTCCCCTCTCTCGTCTCCAAACGATTCGTCTCGGTAAACAAAAATAATTTGCACCTTAGAGTGCGAGTGGTTTTCTGTTCAAATGAGCCTTGGGGACGCCACTTGGCTCCCTTTTCACAGCCAAGAGCCAGGGATGGACATTCCACGATACTCGTGGTGGCGAGTCTACGCGTAGGACAACTCACCGTTGACTTCACCTGCACACAACGCGGCATACTCGTGGCAATGTCCCTGAATGAACGGCGGGGGGGGGGGGGGGCGTCAACCCCCAACCGGGATTTGAACTCGCGAGCTTTTCCCATCGCGAGCCGCTCGCTCGACCGCTCAGCCAACCCCGGCGGGTTAAAGAGGCCGCTGACGCGAGTCTCGCGTCGCCGCGGCTGCTTCCATATCGGGGCAGGTTTCCCTCGTCGTCTCCTGCCCATCTCCGTTCGCCTGGCTGGAGGATGTGGAGAGCAAACTCTGGTGGGGGGGGGGGCTTTGTTCTCCGGTGGGGGGGGGGCAGCTGATTAGGGTCCGGCAATCTGCGTTGAGGCGGAGATTCGGCGCGTTAGCAGCGCTTGCGATGGGGAAAACTGCCACTTGGCAATGGACGCAGGTGAACACGACGGTGAAACGAGAGGATCGGGAAGAGGGGGAAAGAGCGAGAGGGAGAGCGACAGGGAGAGCGACAGGGAGAGCGGGGTGCAGGGAAGTGGAACGCCTCTGGCGAGCGGAGAGACATCGTCCCCTTTGCGATCGCTGAAATGTGACACCGCCCGACAGCTCCATAAATATGAAGCGTGGCCCGGGGGGCCGACGAGGCAGGCGAGCTGCGCGAACGTCAGACGACCTGCAAGAGTTGAAAGGTCGGGCGAGATGCAAATCTCCGGAGGAGTGCGATTTGGGCGAGGGAAGACAAAAGCGGCGGAGAGAGGAGCAATATATCGCGAGGCGCATGCTGCTGTGCCGTCGTCACCTGGCGCCTCGGTCTGGAAGAGGGAATGCCCCGGCAACATTTATGCTGAGAAAATGCACGCTGCGTACGAAACGAGGGAGGCCCTCTCTCTGCCAGGCGCTCAAATCGCATTGCAATGCATAATGATGTCACCAATGTGCACCCGAGGGACGTGCAACGTGCGATTGCGAGTGTGCGTGCATGTGTCCGTGTGCCTGTGTATATGGTGCTCGCTAACAGCACTTGTCCCTACAGTCTGTTAAGGCTATACGGGGGATCTTTGTCTTTGTCTTTGTGTATATGGGGAGCGGTAGTGCAACGGTCAGCGCGCTGTGCTACGAACCCTGTCGACCCGGGTTCGAATCCCGCTCACGGCCGACACCAGTGACGATTATCTGAACAGGATTTGGGTCTCTCCTAGGTCAACTCAGCCTCAAATGAGTTCCTGGTGCGGTCTGTAAACCGCACCAGCGCGTGGTGCTGGCAACCCACCCCCTCGTGTGCCGTGCCGGCTTTCAACGGTGCTCGCTAATAACACTTCAGTCTGTTAAGGGCCATATCGGGAATCTTTGTTTTTGTGTATTATGAGTATGAGTGATTGATTCCTGCTCATGACTAACATCGGTGAGGAATTTCTAAACTGGTATTGAGCCTCCTCTGGGTTGACTCGGCCTCACATGAGTACCTGGCGTGTGTTGCTTAAATATCAGTGCTAGGAAGACAAATACGGGTGGGCGTAGTGCTGGCCACCCACCCGCTCGCATGTCGCATGGGTCTTCATGGATGCTCGCTAACAACACTCGCCCCAACGTCTGTTGAGGCTACATGGGGGAGTCTTTGCGTGCAAAAATCGGCGAGTGCTTATGCACGCACTCGCATCATGTGCTTGTCACCGCTCGCCAACCATGTGCCCGGTCCCCACGGATCTTCCTCCGCTGTGCCGGTGGCGCGGTGTCAGCACTGCCGTGGCTGGCGATGGAGACGAGGCAGACAGTCCGCTTGCATCCGTCGTGTACCCAGAACCACGACTTCCTTGGCTGAGCGCCATTTCTCCGTAGCTGCACCAAGCCGTTTGGAACTCTCTACCACTGCACTAATGCAGCTTCCCATCACCAGCATCTACCTTAAAGCAGATCAAGGCTCTCACCAGTCCAGACTCTCTCACCATTCTAGACTCTCTCACCAGTCCAGTCTCTCTCACCAGTCCAGTCTCTCTCACCACTCCAGACTCTCTCACCACTCCAGACTCTCCCACCAGTCCAGTCTCTCTCACCAGCCCAGACTCTCTCACCACTCCAGACTCTCTCACCACTCCAGACTCTCTCACCAGTCCAGACCCTCCCACCAGTCCAGTCTCTCTCACCACTCCATTCTCTCTCACCAGCCCAGACTCTCTCACCACTCCAGACTCTCTCACCACTCCAGACTCTCTCACCAGTCCAGTCTCTCTCACCACTCCAGACTCTCTCACCACTCCAGACTCTCTCACCACTCCATTCACTCTCACCACTCCAGACTCTCACAGTCCAGACGCTCTCACCACTCCAGACTCTCACAGTCCAGACTCTCTCACCAGTCCAGTTTCTCTCACCACTCCAGACTCTCTCACCACTCCAGACTCACCACTCCAGTATCTCTCACCAGTCCAGTCTCTCTCACCACTCCAGACTCACCACTCCAGACTCACCACTCCAGTTTCTCTCACCAGTCCAGTCTCTCTCACCACTCCAGACTCTCTCACCACTCCAGACTCACCACTCCAGTCTCTCTCACCACTCCAGACTCTCTCACCACTCCAGACTCTCACAGTCCAGACCCTCTCACCACTCCAGACTCTCTCACCACTCCAGACTCTCTCACCACTCCAGACTCTCCACTCCAGACTCTCTCACCACTCCAGACTCTCACCAGTCCAGTCTCTCTCACCACTTCAGACTCTCTCACCACTCCAGACTCTCTCATCATTCCAGGCTCTCTCACCACTCCAGACTCTCTCACCACTCCAGACTCACCACTCCAGACTCTCTCACCACTCCAGTCTCTCTCACCACTCCAGACTCTCTCAGCATTCCAGTCTCTCTCACCACTCCAGACTCTCTCACCACTCCAGACTCACCACTCCAGACTCTGTCACCACTCCAGTATCCCTCACCAGTCCAGTCTCTCTCACCATTCCAGTCTCTCTCACCAGTCCAGACTCTCTCACCAGTCCAGTCTCTCTCACCAGTCCAGACTCTCTCACCACTCCAGACTCTCTCACCACTCCAGACTCTCTCACCACTCCATTCTCTCTCACCACTCCAGACTCTCACAGTCCAGACTCTCTCACCACTCCATACTCTCACAGTCCAGACTCTCTCACCAGTCCAGTTTCTCTCACCACTCCAGACTCTCTCACCACTCCAGACTCACCACTCCAGTATCTCTCACCAGTCCAGTCTCTCTCACAACTCCAGACTCACCACTCCAGACTCACCACTCCAGTCTCTCTCACCAGTCCAGTCTCTCTCACCACTCCACACTCTCTCACCACTCCAGACTCACCACTCGAGTCTCTCTCACCACTCCAGACTCTCTCACCACTCCAGACTCACCACTCCAGACTCTCACAGTCCGGACTCTCTCACCACTTCAGACTCTCTCACCACTCCAGACTCTTTCACCACTACAGTTTCTCTCACCACTCCAGACTCACCACTCCAGACGCTCTCACCACTCCAGAATCTCTCTCCACTCCAGACTCTCTCACCACTCCAGACTCTCTCACCACTCCAGACCCTCACCAGTCCAGTCTCTCTCACCACTGCAGACTCTCTCACCACTCCAGACTCTCTCACCATTCCAGTATCTCTCACCAGTCCAGTCCCTCTCACCATTCCAGTCTCTCTCACCACTCCAGACTCTCTCACCATTCCAGTCTCTCTCACCAGTCCAGTCTCTCTCACCAGTCCAGTCTCTCTCACCACTCCAGACTCTCTCACCACTCCAGTCTCTCTCACCACTCCAGACTCTCTCATCATTCCAGTCTCTCTCACCACTCCAGACTCTCTCACCACTCCAGACTCACCATTCCAGACTCTCTCACCACTCCAGTATCCCTCACCAGTCCAGTCTCTCTCACCATTCCAGTCTCTCTCACCAGTCCAGACTCTCTCACCAGTCCAGTCTCTCTCACCAGTCCAGTCTCCCTCACCACTCCAGACTCTCTCACCACTACAGACTCTCTCACCACTCCATTCTCTCTCACCACTCCAGACTCTCACAGTCCAGACTCTCTCACCACTCCATACTCTCACCAGTCCAGACTCTCTCACCAGTCCAGTCTCTCTCACCAGTCCAGTCTCCCTCACCACTCCAGACTCTCTCACCACTACAGACTCTCTCACCACTCCATTCTCTCTCACCACTCCAGACTCTCACAGTCCAGACTCTCTCACCACTCCATACTCTCACAGTCCAGACTCTCTCACCAGTCCAGTTTCTCTCACCACTCCAGACTCTCTCACCACTCTAGACTCACCACTCCAGTATCTCTCACCAGTCCAGTCTCTCTCACCACTCCAGACTCACCACTCCAGACTCACCACTCCAGTCTCTCTCACCAGTCCAGTCTCTCTCACCACTCCAGACTCTCTCACCACTCCATACTCTCACAGTCCAGACTCTCTCACCAGTCCAGTTTCTCTCACCACTCCAGACTCTCTCACCACTCTAGACTCACCACTCCAGTATCTCTCACCAGTCCAGTCTCTCTCACCACTCCAGACTCACCACTCCAGACTCACCACTCCAGACTCTCTCATCATTCCAGTCTCTCTCACCACTCCAGACTCTCTCACCATTCCAGTATCTCTCACCAGTCCAGTCTCTCTCACCATTCCAGTCTCTCTCACCACTCCAGACTCTCTCACCAGTCCATACTCTCTCACCAGTCCAGTCTCTCTCACCACTACAGTTTCTCTCACCACTACAGACTCTCTCACCACTCCAGACTCACCATTCCAGACTCTCTCACCACTCCAGTATCCCTCACCAGTCCAGTCTCTCTCACCATTCCAGTCTCTCTCACCAGTCCAGACTCTCTCACCAGTCCAGACTCTCTCACCACTCCATTCACTCTCACCACTCCAGACTCTCACAGTCCAGACGCTCTCACCACTCCAGACTCTCACAGTCCAGACTCTCTCACCAGTCCAGTTTCTCTCACCACTCCAGACTCTCTCACCACTCCAGACTCACCACTCCAGTATCTCTCACCAGTCCAGTCTCTCTCACCACTCCAGACTCACCACTCCAGACTCACCACTCCAGTTTCTCTCACCAGTCCAGTCTCTCTCACCACTCCAGACTCTCTCACCACTCCAGACTCACCACTCCAGTCTCTCTCACCACTCCAGACTCTCTCACCACTCCAGACTCACCACTCCAGACTCTCACAGTCCAGACTCTCTCACCACTTCAGACTCTCTCACCACTCCAGTCTCTTTCACCACTACAGTTTCTCTCACCACTCCAGACTCACCACTCCAGACTCTCTCACCACTCCAGACTCTCTCATCATTCCAGTCTCTCTCACCACTCCAGACTCTCTCACCACTCCAGACTCACCACTCCAGACTCTCTCACCACTCCAGTCTCTCTCACCACTCCAGACTCTCTCACCATTCCAGTATCTCTCACCAGTCCAGTCTCTCTCACCATTCCAGTCTCTCTCACCACTCCAGACTCTCTCACCAGTCCATTCTCTCTCACCAGTCCAGTCTCTCTCACCACTACAGTTTCTCTCACCACTCCAGACTCTGTCACCACTCCGGTCTCCCTCACCACTCCAGTCTCTCTCACCAGTCCAGTCTCTCTCACCAGTCCAGTCTCTCTCACCACTCCAGACTCTCTCACCACTCCAGTCTCTCTCACCACTCCAGACTCTCTCATCATTCCAGTCTCTCTCACCACTCCAGACTCTCTCACCACTCCAGACTCACCATTCCAGACTCTCTCACCACTCCAGTATCCCTCACCAGTCCAGTCTCTCTCACCATTCCAGTCTCTCTCACCAGTCCAGACTCTCTCACCAGTCCAGTCTCTCTCACCAGTCCAGTCTCCCTCACCACTCCAGACTCTCTCACCACTACAGACTCTCTCACCACTCCATTCTCTCTCACCACTCCAGACTCTCACAGTCCAGACTCTCTCACCAGTCCAGTTTCTCTCACCACTCCAGACTCTCTCACCACTCTAGACTCACCACTCCAGTATCTCTCACCAGTCCAGTCTCTCTCACCACTCCAGACTCACCACTCCAGACTCACCACTCCAGTCTCTCTCACCAGTCCAGTCTCTCTCACCACTCCAGACTCTCTCACCACTCCAGACTCACCACTCCAGTCTCTCTCACCACTCCAGACTCTCTCACCACTCCAGACTCACCACTCCAGACCCTCACAGTCCAGACTCTCTCACCACTTCAGACTCTCTCACCACTCCAGTCTCTTTCACCACTACAGTTTCTCTCACCACTCCAGACTCACCACTCCAGACGCTCTCACCACTCCAGAATCTCTCTCCACTCCAGACTCTCTCACCACTGCAGACTCTCTCACCACTCCAGACTCTCTCATCATTCCAGTCTCTCTCACCACTCCAGACTCTCTCACCACTCCAGACTCACCACTCCAGACTCTCTCACCACTCCAGTCTCTCTCACCACTCCAGACTCTCTCACCATTCCAGTATCTCTCACCAGTCCAGTCTCTCTCACCATTCCAGTCTCTCTCACCACTCCAGACTCTCTCACCAGTCCATTCTCTCTCACCAGTCCAGTCTCTCTCACCACTACAGTTTCTCTCACCACTCCAGACTCTCTCACCAGTCCAGTCTCTCTCACCACTCCAGACCCTCTCACCACTCCAGACTCTCTCACCACTCCAGACTCTCTCACCACTCCAGACTCTCTCACCACTCCAGACTCTCTCACCACTCCAGACTCTCTCACCACCCCAGACTCTCTCACCACTCCAGTTTCTCTCCCCAGTCCAGACTCTCTCACCACTCCAGGCCTACATATGAGGAACTTTGAGCGCTAGCTGCATGTCACAAGTGTTCTCGATCGAACATTTCAACCGATTTGCTCAGCGTGAGTGTGTATGTTATAAATTGTGTTTATTGTTGTTTTATGATTGTAGGGGCAGGTTATCTTCAGGAACGGGGAGAGGCTGGGCACCATCGAGTTCACCCAGTTTCAAAGTGAGTGCTCCTCTCTCGCGTGAAACATTTCCCAGTTGTGAATGGGGGGGGGGGGGGGGGGGGAATAATCAGCTCTACAGCAATATCGAAGACTGCACTGTAGCAATCCATTATTTGTGCTAAAATACCAGACGGTAAATATTTCATGACTGCTGCCAGACATTGACAAAATCATTAATTCATCCAGAAAAGCCTCAAAATAGTTATATTTTTCGAACAGCATTGAGAAATGTGGCCATTTCTGGTTCATAAAGAAATTGACATCTAAGAGGAAAGTGGTTACCTAGAGGAATCCCACCCATTATGTGGAGATGACACTCAAATATTTGCACCGATCAGCTCATGATTCACTGGATTTACCACCATCTTCTGGCCTCGTCAAAACCAAGGAGGCTCGTGACCCTTACAATTGTGCATCATCCACCAAACCTTGGCTTCGAATGAGCTGGGATTTACAGTAAGTGCGCCACCAACACCACCACGGCCATATGGAGTCACACGATTAAACAGTGGTGTCAATCGCGAGTTCACGCAACCACGTGTGCCTGTGTCCGCTGCACTGCGTGACGCACCCCGGCGATCCCATCCGAGTTCGATTCACGCTCACCATCAACATCGGTGACGAGTTATCCGAACCGGTTCTGGGTCTCTGCTAGACCAGCTCAGCCTTAAATGCGTACCTGGTGCGATGTGTTAACATTGCCACTGGGGAGACAAAGGTGGGCTGGGTGCTGGCCACCTATTTCCTCGTGTGCCATGCCGGCTTTTATAGGGGCTCTTCCAACAGCACTTGCCCCTACAGTCTGAGGCTTTAAGGGGGCGGGGGGATCTTTGTCTTTGTTTCCGCATGCGCCGCCCGGCCAGATGGGCAAAGAGTGAAGGTGGGCGAGTACAACGCCGTCGCCGACCAACTGGAGCTCAATAGAACGATCCTCTTTCAAGGTGAGCCACGCGAAGGGCCCAGGCGGCGAGCACTGCCGGGCTGCGTGCGTGCGGGCGTGTGTGGGTGAGCGGAGAGGGATTGTAGTTATTTCACCCCAGATCGTCTCTGGCTTAGGGTGCATGTACGGGTGTGTGGCATGCGTGCCCTACTCTGACCTGCAAGTTCCAAGCCTGGAGTTTGCAGGTCTGAGCGGAGCTCGCAGGACGGAGCGGAGCTCGCAGGTCGGAGCGGAGGTCGCAGGTCGGAGTGGAGCTCGCAGGTCGGAGCGGAGCTCGCAGGTCGGAGCGGAGCTCGCAGGTCGGAGCGGAGCTCGCAGGTCGAAGCGGAGTTCGTAGGTCGGAGCAAAGTTCGTAGCTCGGAGCGGAGTTCGTAGGTCGGAGCGGAGCTCGCAGGTCGGAGCGGAGCTCGCAGGTCGGAGCGGAGCTCGCAGGACGGAGCGGAGCTCGCAGGTCGGAGCGGAGTTCATAGGTCGGAGCGGAGTTCGCAGGACGAAGCGGAGCTCGCAGGACGGAGCGGAGCTCGCAGGACGGAGCGGAGTTCGTAGCTCGGAGCGGAGCTCGCAAGTTGGAGCGGAGTTCGCAGGTCGGAGCGGATTTGGGAGTTGCAGGGTCGAAGCGGCCGGGCCTCACGCGTGACTCCCCCTCACCCACCCCGACTTGCGCAGGTGCGACGCCACCGCGGGACCACACCTTCGTGGTGAGCAAGCGGCGCGAGGTCTCCTTGCTGCTCTACAGCATCCTGGCGATGCTCACCTGCCTCGGCATGCTCATGGCCTCCACCTTCCTCTTCTTCAACATCAAGAACCGCAACCACAAGTCAGGCCTCCTCCCCTCAGCCACCGCTCGCCACACCCGCGGCAGCAGCGCACCGCGCACCGAGCCGCTCTCCGCTGAATTGTTCGGTGACAGCCGGACTTAACCCCGATGCCTCGGTGGCGGTGCCATCCCCTGGGCGTTTCGCAGCCCGTTACGGGAAAATCTCGCGCGAGAATGAAAGGAAGCAGACAATGAAACGAACGCAGTTTAATGACACAGTGTTTTCCTCGTTGGTATCCACCGCACTGTTGTTCAGTTGTTGTTTGTGTGTGTGTGTTTTTTTTTATTACGTGTGTATGTGTGTTTTATTACGTACGTGTGTGTGTGTTCCCAGGCTCATTAAGATGTCGAGCCCCTACATGAACAACCTGATCATCCTGGGGGGCATGTTCTCCTACATGACCATCTTCCTCTTCGGCCTGGACGGGGCCCTCGTGTCCCCGGGCACCTTCGAGAGAGTGTGCACCGTGAGTGGCGCGCGCAGTGGGGGGGGGGGGGGGGGGGGGGGAGGTGCCCCCATACCTGTCAACCCCTTCTCAGTGCCCTAGCTTATTACAGACCAATTTAGACCTTAGTGGTCACCCCCGTGCCCTTATAAATCTCAACGTTCATCCTACAAAGTCCCATCGCAAGGGCGAAACACAAACGAATAGACAACAATTTATTTTTGCCCGCATTGAAACGCCTCTACGCCGTATGGACCTGAAAAATCAAGTTCCCTGTACAACAATACGGGGTAAACCGTGTGGGTTGACAGCTGTGTGCCCCACCCCCCAGGTGTGCTGTCACACCATGAAATTGGACACCCAACGAAGTCACCGATCAGAGTTGGTGCCCACTGTTTTGGCAAGTGGATGCGGTGTGGATCGTGAATCGAGGTTAAATGTGTAACAATTTGGCAGACGCTCAACGTTGATCGGGCAGTCAATCTTGAAAAATGTCGATTCATTGCCAATGGATTAATTGCCATTGGGTTCATTGGCAAGCGATACTTGGATTGAGCAGTTGTGTGGCACCCCCCCCCCCCCCCCCCCTTTATTTGAGTGGCTTAAATCAGCAAGATCGGTGATGCCGTCGCCACGAGGCGAAGATCCCCCGCAGCGCTCTAACCGCCACATTACCGGCTCCTACACACACACACACACGTGTCTGTCTGTGTGTGTAGTGGTAGCGATAGTGTAGCGGTTAGCGCGCTGCGCTATGAACCCGGCGACCCGGGTTCGATTCCCGCTCACGGCCAACACCAGTGACGATTATCTGAACCGGTCCCGGGCCTCCCCTAGGTCGACTCAGCCTCAAATGAGTATCTGGTACGGTGTGCAAACATCGCGACTGGGGAGACAAAGGCGGTCGGGCGTGGTGCTGGCCACCCACCCCCTCGTGTACCGTTCCGGCCTTCATAGGTGCTCGCTAACAGCACTTGCCCCTACAGTCTGTTAAGGCTATACGGGGAATCTTTGCCATATTTGTGTAATATCAAAAAACAGGGTTGTATTATTTAATCGGCCTGTGTTTAATTGGGGTCATCACGAAGACTGCCAGTCACAACCAGAATGATTTTGTATTTTACCCAGGCCTAACATTTGTTGGGTTTTATTCAGTGTAAAAACACACACGTAATGCGACATCACGGAATAATTGTATAACAGTGCACGCTGCTCGTATGCATGGCATTGTCACAACAAAAAACAAAGATCCCCCGTACAGCCTTAGCAGACTGTTGAGGTAAGTGCTGTTAGCGAGCACCTATGAAGGCCGGCACGGCGCACGAGGGGGTGGGTGGCCAACACCACGCCCGGCCGCCTTTGTCTCCCGAGTGGCGATGTTTACACATCGCACCAGGTACTCATTTGAGGCTGAGTCGACCTAGGTGAGGCCCAGGGCCGGTTCAAATAATCGTCACTCGTGTTGGCCGTGGTTCATAGCGCAGCGCGCTAACCGCTACCCTGCCGCATTGTTACACCGCACCCACACACACTCACGTGCGCGTACGCATGAGTCATCGTCTCATTAAATCAACTGAGCAGGTATTGTGAGCGTCCTCCCCTCCACACCCCTTCAAGTCATTATTTAAAGTCGTTTAGAGGATAATGAAGTCGTTTGTTGCTGCCCCAGAGATTGCCCCCGGAATTCTCGTCAACAGCATTGACAGTCGTTGCTGGAGTGCAAGGCCGAGCAGCCGAGCGCGGCCGCACGCAGAGTCGCGGAATTTCGCTCCGTCAAACGGCGGCTCCGTCGCAGTCGCTGGCATCACCGACCCGGCCTCTGCCACTCCACGCTACCTTTGCTTCAATCGCACCCTGGCCCCGTCGTGCCCCTCCGTCGTTGTCGCCATCTCGTCTGTGTCACCTCGATTGTCGCCACCTCCCCCCCCCCAACTCCATCCCCACCTCCGCTCGCTCCTCGGTTGTGCTCCATCCCCGCTCCCCCCCCCCCCCCCCCCCCACCTTGGCACCAGCGTCGTGATAGTGGTGCACGAGCGGAACAAAATAATTTCAACACGAACAACGGCGAACGTTTCAGGCTCTTTAGTCTCGAGACACGGCAGAGAGTTTGAGTGATGTTCACCTTTAACACCTGCAGGCTCTCGCAGCCAATATGATTCATTATTGATTTGTGGGTCGGGCCAGATGCGTGCGATTTTTCTTTTTGCACCATCCTCCACCCAACAGCCGATTGGAGAAAAAAATACAAGTTGTGGATCGCTCACCAACACCACACCACCAGTAGTGCTGCTGAAGCAGTCATCAATCGGCACGTTTGATCACGTGATAACATTATAAAGTGGCTGTGTCAGGTGGAGGAGGGTGTATGACACACATTTGTCTCGCGCGAACTGACCCGAAAAAAAGGTACGAGTCTCGCATCCCTCGGCTCTTCGCAAATCACAATGTCCCTTCGACGTTTTTGTTTTAAGGCGCCGCAGACGAACGTGCGATCTCCAACCACGATTCGGCCAACCTCTCTGCCCTCTCTCTACCCTGAAAAAGGACCATCGTCTGAAACATCAGCTGGCTAATAAAGCCGACGATGGAGAACAAGGAGGGTGGTGACCCACTCCTCCACCCCCCCTCTCTCTCTCTTCCGATGTAGGTCCGCACGTGGTTCCTCACCGTGGGCTACACTACGGCCTTCGGGGCGATGTTCGCCAAGACGTGGCGCGTCCACGCCATCTTCAAGAACGTCAAGATGAAGAAGAAGGTGAAAACCCTGCCGCATTCGCCTTGCGGAGGAAATGAGGGGGCGTGGGGGGCAACTTTAATCGCGCGATAGGAGGACGATGCCGAAATGTGTTAAACTGAGTAAGAATCAATTCAACACGTAGCAGGCTTTCGCGACCAATATTATTCACAAAGGTTTTTGGGTTAGATCGCGTAAGTATAAATGTGTCGTAACCCTCCACCACCCGACGCAGCCAATTGAGAAGGGATTTGTCACTTAAACAAAACGCCAATTAGTTTCCACTTCAGCCCACCGGTGTGTTGGAGAGTAAATCGGCAACAAGGTCGCGTAGTCACGAGCGTGACTCGAGTTTCGCGTGCGTCTAGACAACATTGCAAGGCAGCCACCGGTACAAAACATTCCGTTCTCGCGCATGATGGCAGCGGCAATATGGCTAAACACCGACGTCGAGTTCTGCAAGCCGCGAGGAGAGGGCTTCGGGAGAGAGTCCGTGTCGTTTTCTCCTCCGGCGATGGAGTGCAGGCTGCGGTGGTTCACTCTGTGGGCCACAGTTAAGTTGCATGGCCACGATCCAAAGTACGGCAGTGATGCTACATGGAAAGCACCGTAGCAGATTCACCTTTATGATGAATCGTGAGTACATTCGAGCCCTCTAGAGAATGTTGACTTTGGCAAAAAAAATCTTTCGGGCAGATGGTGGTTACCTGCGCATAGTGGCCAAATAGTTTTCGCCATCGGCTGCATAGTCTATGGCAGGATGCTATCATCGTTACAGAAGCCTCCACGTCTGACCTCAGATAGAATTGCCGGGTCTTTGCAAGGACAGGGCTGGTAAAAGCGCACGCAAAATGACAAATCGCCAGCGCCGTCGTTATTCACAAGAACTGCCTCGCGAACTGAAAAATGTGTAATCAACCGAGGCTTAGGACAACACGCCTTGCTCAAAGCAGAAAAAAACGGGAGCAGATACGGCAAATTGTGATTTATACTGCGGGGAAAATGCATTCGAGTCACAATATCGTGGAGCACATTCGTATAAATCATCACTTGTAAATTCATTCCGCGTTTGCTTCTCTGAAAGAATTACCGCAGCCTGAAAACATTGCCCGATTGGCCGTGCTTATAAGTTTGCAGCGTAGGCACGGTTAAACGCGTGGGATAGGTTCATTTTGTTTTATTATAATAATCATGTCATCTTGCACCCACCCACGTGTGGTGTCTTGATCACTGCGATGTCTCCAACGCACACGGATTGCTCACACGGATTGTGCTGCAGTCACCGGTTTGATCGCGGGCGGGCGGGCGGGCGGCTACGTGGGCTACCGGGCCGGACCTGCGCTCGCGCGCAATCAAAATAGCGCCGTCGGCAAAGAGAGACTCGGCGATAACTCACCCCCGTTACACTCGGGAGCGGGGACCGGTGGCTCACCCAACCCCCCACCGCTCGCCGTGGGTGTGTGACGACTACGCGCGTCCACGACGCACGCGTGCGCTTGCGCAAATTGACACCATCCATTACCTGCGTCTCCCTCGCTCCACCGTGGCACACAGCGCCCCGGCTCGGCTTCGGCTCGGACGGGAAGGCATCCCCGGTGTCGGTTTTTTTTTCTTTCCCCCGCGTGGTGCCGTGCTCATTGACTGCCTCGGCGCAGTTTCAAAGCGACGCTGCGGAGTGATGATGACGCTGCAGAATTGGACGGGCCACTCTGCAGGCGTGCTGGCCAGCGGCTGTTGTATCGGAAGAACATTCCACACGCACAAACACGCACACACACACATGTTGTGCACAGCATATATCGCTGAGACCGAAACAAGCAAAAGAAGATCTCCCGTATAAGCCTCCACGGACTGTTGGGGCAAGTGCTGTTAGCGAGTGCTCATTTAGGGCTGGCACAGCTGACAAGAAGGGGCGGTGGTCACCAGCTTCGTGCTGTTAGCGAGCGCTCATTAGGGCTGGCACAGCTGACAAGAAGGGGCGGTGGTCACCAGCTTCGTGCTGTTAGCGAGCGCTCATTAGGGCTGGCATAGCTGACAAGAAGGGGCGGTGGTCACCAGCTTCGTGCATGGCTGCCGTCGTATCGCTAGTGTTGATATCTACACGCTGATGTTAAGCCACGGCTAGGAATCGAACCCAGGTCGGTGGGTTCGTAGCACAGCGCGTTTCCCACGACACTACTGCTCCGTGGGACCGGACATGTGCACAGAGCCTCGTGCAGCTCCACTCAGAGCCACGCATCCTCCGTTCCGATCGGCCTGCACAACCGAGACGATCGCGCTGAGTGGATGCCTTCCACTGTCTCCTGCCTTGAATCAATCTCGTGGCTTCTGATAATTCCGGGTTTCTTTCGTTCACTTCTGCCTTTACTGCGTCCCTGCATCACATCCTGCGCCGTACCCCGCTATCCGTAGTCCCTCGTCGTACCTTTGGAGTGCTAAACCTCGCATCCTGTCCAGTCTCATTTTCATTATCCAAACCATCATCTTCTCTGTCAGCGGCGTTTTCTGTCCAAATCTTCCTCCTATTTTTTTGTTTGTTCATTATCACTCTTGTATGCCCACGACTCTTTTTCACGAGGGTCCTGATCATTTTGTAGTAAGCGGCAATGGTTGAGCAATCTCAAGGTACATTTTCAGCATTGGGAATCTTTGGCCAATGTAGCTATCGGTGGAAATCGAAGAAGCCTGAGGAAACCCGTGCAGGACAGGGGGAGAACATACACACTTCACACACAAAGGTGGCCGAGTCCGGAATCGAACCCAGGATCTTCTTGCTGTGAGGTACACGCGTTACATCTGCGCCACCCATCGGCACACACAGCCACGTACAATACAGCTGAGTGAAACAAAGATTTCCCTCCTGTAGCCTTCACAGACTGTTGGGGCAAGTGCTGTTAGCGGGGTGAAACGCCCACACTGACGGGCAACAACAACCGCTATTCACCACTAAGTGGCGGTGACGTCACCACGACGCTTGTGCCAGGCCATGTGCACCTGACGGGCACACACGCACACACACACACCCGGGCTGGAAGCGCTGCCACTCGGCCGCTCGTCCCCTCAGAGGTTTCCCTGCCTCGCTCCTCGGGGAAACAGCAACAACTTCTGTACCGACGAGGAAAAAAAACAACATCCTGTCACATTTATGTTGCCGTAAAATGTTCCCATTCAAAAGCAGGAAGCAGTTGTAGCTGTGAGAGAGTCTGAATGGCCAAACATTCGAAAGGCCCTTTCGGAGTGACCTCCATTCAGCTTGAGAGGCATGAACGTTTTCGAAGATTATGATAATGGTAACGTAGATAGGGCAATGCTACCGGTAACAACGGTACTGCTACGGGTAGCAGTGACACTGTATAGTTGTCGTGCTTGATGTGAGACAGATTGGCCTACACTTTAGGCGTGCCAGCCACCACTTTTATGGAACAGTGAAGTCAGACGCCTGATGCATAATTCATCTTGCCGCATTTTAAATGTTTGATTGAGGCAAGTAATTCAATCACAGCTTGGCTGAGTGAAAAAAAAATTATCGAGACTTGTCGCTTTCCCTGCTAATCGACTGCGATGGCCTGAGAGGCAGATTTTAGCGAATGCTTTTTTTTTGCCCTGTAATTAATTCCCAGCACTGCACTTCCTCTGTAAATTCTTAATGTGTATGAATGAACTTGTGTACATGGGAGTGCTCTGGCTTTCCGAACGCGCAAACCACCGTGCGATGGGGTGGAGCGGGGAGGGGGGGGCGAGGTCTGTCATCATCCCCAGTGCCGACCCAGGACCTCTGCTCACGCGAGAGAGTCAATCTCAAAGTGAAACTCAATTTTCTCTGTCGTCTAATATTCGTAATAAGTGCTCAAGGCTCAAACAGCCACACGTGGTTGGGGTTGACGCGTACAACCGCCAGGCTAGCGATTGTTCCGCGTGGTTCAAATTGTACAACTCTGTCCGCACCTGGGGCCACGCACGCTGATGAGCAGACGAGCGCGCTCGGCACATTCACACGTGCACAGCAGCGGGCGTTTGCTCCCGCCGATCTGGTGAGCCGGGACGCCAAACGCTCATGCAACCACTGGCCACGCATCTGCTTTTCTCGCACATCCCGAACGTGCGGCAAATTGCGACATCGCTCTCAATACCGATGGGTGAGAAGCTGGTGCTTCCAGTGACGAGGAGAAAGTCACACAGGCTGAGTCTGGGAGTCCCACTGGTTGTGTCGTCAGTTGCCCTTGGCTTCACTATGCCCGGTGCACTCACCGCCCTCCCAATTCCTCAACGGCGAATGGCCTGCCCACCAACTCTGACCGCTAATCCTCAATTCCACCTCGTCACGAAGTCGACTTTCCACTGCCTGCACACACGACATGACGTATATATCAGCGTTCGGCTTTGGCATAATTTTCGTTTTTCCTCCCCACGCAGATCATCAAAGACCAAAAGTTGTTTGGCATCGTGGGCGGCATGCTGCTCATTGACCTGGTCATCCTCATCTCCTGGCAAGTGCTGGACCCCCTGAAGCGCATTGTGAATGACTACCCCAGGGAGGTGGGTTTGGCCTGCGTCGTGTGAGATGTATGTATACACGTTGAGCTTTCACATCGTACGTAGCCAACTGTGCTAATCGGATCGACTCGGTCTATGCAGAGCACGGTGCGGACTGCACTGTGTGATGAGAATAATCAGTGGTGTTGGTGGTGGTGGGACATAGACCAAGGGAGCTTGTTCGATTCCATCTTCTAGCGTGGCAGTTGAACCAATGGGGCGAGTTTATTAAATCCCTCCACCCCCCTACCGCCTCTGTCCACCCAGCGTCAGTATAAATGGATGCATCACAGGGAAGTCGATCGACAGGGCGCCGTAGTAGCCGGATGTTAACTACCTCGCCCGGTATACAGGAGGTCGTGGTTGCAAGCCCGATCCCGACCCCTGTATATTTGGAGGTAGGGCGTGGCGGGGCCAAGCGTGGGTATACGCTCACCTAATCCAACACGCCTGGAAGAGTAGACCAGATACCACCTCGAGTTCGCTCCAAGGGGAAGGCGCCTCCCGCCAGCTGCGGCGTGAGCCAGCAAGTGCGGGCTGCATATTCACCTCTCTTTCATCCCGAACACTGCTTCCCAAACGCCGCTTCTCGCGCCCCACCGTACTGCCAACGCTGCTCCGAGTTTGGTCCATTTTACCCTACCCTTACAAGTGCAAATTAAGCCACTGCACGCTGCACGTGCCTGATGATTGGTAAACACGTGCTCCGTCAGCAATTTTTTTTTATGGCGGAGCACGAGCGGCCGGTTGAGCGTGCGAGGGGTGGTGGTGGTGGTGGTGGGGGTATAAGCATGAAGTGTGTTTGACTGTGAAACCGTAGATTAGAGAGTTTGCTGACAGTTTGATAGCGGTGTGCTCGGGGTTTATTGTCAGTCGGAGTGCCACCTCTCCTGACGAAACAACCCAATCTCTGCGCGGCAGCAAATCCCTGTTCTGTAATTCTCTCTCTGTCTCTCGCGGGGGCTGCGTGGTCCTTGTCGAAAGACGCCGGCGGGCTCGTAACGGTGCAAAGCGCTCCGGCTGGTGTGGGAGCAGAAGGGTCAGGGCGAGCACGCACTGGAGGACGGCAGCCAGACGCTCGCAGGTGGCCGCTTGTCGGCAGCCTCGCGGCAGCAGCAGGCGCAGCAGAAAGCAGCAGCAGACAGCAGCAGGCGCAGCAGCAGACAGCAGCAGCAGGCGCAGCAGCAGGCACAGCAGCAGACGCAGCAGCAGGCGCAGCAGCAGACGCAGCAGAGGCAGCAGCAGGCGCAGCAGCAGGCACAGCAGCAGGCGCAGCAGCAGACGCAGCAGACAGCAGCAGCAGGCACAGCAGCAGACACAGCAGACAGCAGCAGGCGCAGCAGCAGGCACAGCAGCAGACGCAGCAGCAGGCGCAGCAGCAGACGCAGCAGACAGCAGCAGCAGCAGACGCAGCAGCAGGCACAGCAGCAGACACAGCAGCAGACGCAGCAGACAGCAGCAGCAGACGCAGCAGCAGGCGCAGCAGCAGACAGCAGCAGCAGACGCAGCAGCAGGCGCAGCAGCAGACAGCAGCAGCAGACGCAGCAGCAGGCACAGCAGCAGACAGCAGCAGACGCGGCAAATCCAGCAGCAGCAAACGCAGCAACGGGTAGGCGCAGCAGCAGCAAACGCGGGATCGGTAAATGAATCCCGAGCCGAGATGTAGTCCTGGTCGCTCTGTGTCCACGCAGCGACACGCGTGTCCTCTTCCTCCTCCTCGTCCGTGTGACACGGTTGGCGTCGAGCAGGTAACACGATGCCGTTTGACGTGCGGTGGCCGTCAAGTTCAACGGAGGTGAAGTGATGGGGGCAGAAATCAATTGCGGCACAGGTGCTAAATGATTGTAATCGGCCTGTAATGTGCTGCTGAATAATGGAGGATGATTAATTTTGCATGGGTCGCTAATTGTGCCCATGAGGAACGGCAAACACAGCTGACCCCGCGACACCGTGACACGCAGGATTATAAAATCAATGCTCATTAATGGGCCCAGGCACGGATGACCCCGGCGCTATTTATAGCTCAGTTTTGCGCTCTTTAACGCTCCCAGAATGTTAATTCCGCAGCACTGCGGGGTGTGAGCGCGAGCACGCGCACGCAGCCTCGCCGACCTCGCCGACGCGCCCACGCGGCAGCGGCGCGGGGTCCTCGTTCGCGGTGGGCGCCCCACGTCGCTTGCTCGGACCCGGCGCCTGTCATCAGCCAGCGCCGAGAGGCTTTCCCCGGAGCCAGCGCGGACGCGGTTAGCGGCAGACGCTGGAGCCACGTGCGGACGTTGGCTCACTCGCAGCGTGAAAAAGCCGCGGCGTGCCTCCGTTTTAATTGATTCACAGCGAAGCGAGCTTCGCGCATTTCATTTGGACGTCATCGGCAATTGTTCTCTGTACGACGTGGCGATATGTTAATGACCTCGTCTCGTATACAGGAGGTTGTGCATATTTGGAGTTTTGTATGTTGTCCCTGTGATTGCGTGGATTTTTCTCCAGGTCCTCCGGTGTTTCCCGTCACATTACAATAGTTGACTGATATACATTTCCACATAAGGGGCCGTCCATAAATGACGTCACGCACCTAGAGGGAGGGGGGGGGGTCAGACATTTGTGACGATGTGTGACGAGGGGGTTGAGAAATGTGACGTCACATCAAAATGCGCAACTTTAAATAAATATAGACAACACGTTCTACTTAATTAAATATACTTTTTAATAAATGTTTTCTCCTACAACATCAGAGTGCAGCGCCACATTAAATACGCACTACAATGACAATAGTTTAAAGCGATTTGAAGCATGTTTTATTTGGGGGGGGGGGGGCAGAGCTTGGTGACGTCATATTTGAGGGGGGTCTGACTTTTTGTGACGCCGTGTGACGAGGGGGGGAGGGGTCAAAAATTGTCCAAAATCGCGTGACGTCATTTGTGGACGGCCCCTAAGTCACTTCGTTGAGCAGTGAAAATGTGGCCATGCTGTCTGTAAAACAGATTTATCTAGCTCAGTGGGCCTTACCTGGTAATATAAAAAAATACAGGTAGTTTAGTTTAATAGTAATTTAAAGTGGCAAGAGCACGATTATATATCGCTCGCGAGGCATCCTGTGAGTGCGCCCGAACTTGTAGGGTATCGGCGGGTAAGCTGCTTGGAGCCTGGCTTGGACTCGGATGGGGAACTGCTTGGGAATGACGAGCGACACGTGGGCTTGGGCTGCGAGTTGGCCAGGAAGTTGCCGTGCAGCAGTGGATTCCTTCATCTATACAAGTTTATTTGCTTTTACGTCACATGCTTGGTGCTCGACCAGATGCGTTGTACGTCGAGGCTCAAAAGAAAGCCGTCCCTTGGTGTGGACCAATCAATTTCAAGGACAATGCATATATTATCATAGTATGTTTTTTGTTTGCATTTTGACTGCAGGTATTGTGGTTAATGCAGACATGAATCTTTGTAAAAAGGTTTCAGTTTTGTTGCCAGTTAAAAGGGAAAAAAAACCCTATTATTAATGCTTGGGTTTTCTTGCAAGGTGCATTGGCTTCAGTCCAATGTACCAAACGCCAAACATCCAAATGCAGCGAGGCATTTAGATGTTTAAAACGAAACTAAACGATGCTTTTTATTTTTGTATTTTACCAGGTAAGGCCCACTGAGCTATAGATCTATTTTTCAGAAGCGACCTGGCCACATATGATTGCTCAACGAAGTGGCTTATTATGTTGAAATTTAGAGCAGCCAAATACTCTAAACGCATGTTTTAAAATGTGGAAGGAAAATCCAGAGGACATGCAAACATGCAAACTCCAAATATACAGGCATCAGGGTCGGGATCGAACCCACAACCTCCTGTAAAATAGGCGAGGTAGTTAACATCTCTACACAGTGGAGAGTACTTCTCCTGCACTCTCATTATCTGCCATGGTCTATTCACTGCTGGATGAAGGCCTCCCCAAGTCGCCACCATCTGTGGTGATCCTGCAATGCCATGAATGTGCCTAACACCTGCATACGAGCCGGTTTCATCGCCCCATCTCCTTCATCAGCATTCCCATTGAGTTACGTTTGACATCAATCTATCTGGGATGTCGGTGGGAATTGCGACAGGGATTGCTGCAAAAGCGGAGCGATGCGGTGCGGGGGAGGGGCGACGTTGTCTGGAATGCCTCGCGTATGCGAAGGGCTCACAGTTCCCGAAATGTCTAGGATGAGTGCCTCCGATCGGTCCCACGGTGGGGCCGGAACGTCACTCTGCCTGCAAGAGTAAACATGGCGCAATGAAATTGATTCATTTCTCCTTGAGCGTGTCTATGCTGCCACCTCGGAGAGGGGGAAAGAGCCATCATTCTTGATCTAGATAATGGTAATGATGGCAGCGGGCGGTCGAGCGCTGAGCGTGGAGGGGCTGCGAACCCCGGACCGCATCCAGGAGGCGATGTGCCGACCACCCCGTTTGTTTGTCGCCTTCGCCGCGTCAATGCTCTTCGATGCTCAAGCCGGCGCTCAAATGAAATCAGATTATTTTTCTTAGTTTTTTTTCTTTCCAAACTCGTTCCGCTTTCACGAAGACGCATCGGACGCCCGTCGAGACGAATGGAATTCATTTGCAAGGCTCGCCGAGAACGGAGGGAGCGCCTCAATTAGGGCGTCATTACGGTGCCTCGGAGTGTTCGGCACGCGGGAATTGCAGGGCCGTGGGGCAAGTTTTGAAGCTGTTTGACCACGCAAATAGCAGAACACTGCCCCGTGTCGTCACGTCAAATGCGTTGGGATTTTTCGAACGTCAAAAATGAACGTCACACTCACAACCGTGGCATCCGACGGACAAATCCCCTTCACGTGAGAGTGGTCGCTGTGTTTGTGCCGTCTCAGAAGGGGCACTCCGCAGGACAGAGCTGCGTCGCCGCAGCCGCTTCTGTAAAACGGCTCCTCCGGCACGGGACGGCTAGAGAACGTCAATCGCCGCACACCACGCAAAGAGAATGAACGACTTTAAATTTCGATTTAAAGCTTTCGTGACT